CAATTTACAAACTGTAGAAACAATGAGAATAGAAGGGTTCAGAACTTTTGTGAAACATCACAGTACAGTTGAAAAAGATATGGCAAATAGAAATCCAATATGGATGGTGTTAAGAGATAGATGGGAGGTGTTGAATGGAGCTGAAGGATGGGACTAATAACAACTAACAACAACGAATAACAACAAGATAACTAATGTAAAGCATACTGTGTCCATAATAAGTATATAGGTTATAGGTTGAGAGATTTTGTGAAAGAGCACAGTTAGAAAGATATGGCATATAGAAGCAAACCGGATGGACATCATGAAAATGATCGGAGAGGTTGAGGGTAGAGGAAGTTCAGGAGTAAAAACAAACTAAATATAATTATTGTGTCCATAAAATGTATATAGTATGCTGGAAGTTGTCACGCCCTGATCGAGAGAACTCTCGTTGGTTGGGTCAGGGTGTGAGTTTTCTGTTGAGATCTATGTTAGTGTATTTCTATGTGATAGATCTAGGTTGTATTTCTATGTTTGGCCGGGTGTGATTCCCAATCAGAGACAGCTGTCGCTCGTTGTCTCTGATTGGGGATCATACTTAGGTAGCCTGGTTGCCTACCTTAGTTGTGGGATCTTTTGTTCCGTTTGGGCTTGTATGTGTATAGCCGGAGGACTTCACTTTACGTTGTATGTTTATTTAGTTCATAAACATGTTCGCTTTTCACGCAGCACCTTGGTCTGATCCGTCTCTCAACGATCGCGACAGAAGTAGAGGCCTAAGCGTTGTTGTTCACTAGTTTACTCCAATTAGGGAAGGGGTGGTGGGGTTGGAAAGTAATAAAGGGAAATATATTTATTTAAAGGATATGTGTATATGTATGTTATTGTATATATATTTGAGAGAAAAAAAACATATGGGGGATTGGAAGTGATGCAGACAATTACATTGATGGAAGTTACAATCTATCTGATATATTAAAGCTGATCTACCCGCCCCTAAAAATGTATTTATAAAAAAAATTGATTCAGTATTTCTCAAGTGAAAAAAATGTGCATGAAAACTAGTCGTCTCTCGCTGAATGACAACAAATGTTCACACTCCTACTAGTAGTACTGTTGACCGATCACTGACGAAGGGGCATAGACTTCGGCCACTGAACTTCGACTTGCCTCAAGAAAACATTTTGTGTGTATGAACCCCCCCCAAAAATGCCAAACCCCAAAATGAACAAAAACGTCGCAATGTAGTCATAATATATGCATAAACTGTTTTGACTGGGAAGCATACGGTAAGCTTAGTGTGTGTACTTTACTGTATTTATACTTGGAATATAGGTTTTCAATGGAAAAAGTTCAAAAATAGCTGGAGTGGGACTTTTAACTTAGGGTTTAGAGATCAGAAGCTGACCCTGCCTTCAGCATTTCTAACAGTGTCAGATATAAGAGTTCAGAGGTCATACCCTCCACACCCTTCAGGCTGCCCATGCTGTTGTGGATTCTGAGGCTACTGGGCCAATAGTTGGGCATCAGGAAGTAGGCCAGGTCTGCCATTGGCTGGCCCGTGGTGGATACCTCCCAGTCCAACACAGCCACCACACGTGCCTGGAGAGAGAGCATACACCAACACACATAAAATTCAATCCCCCTACCAAGTTACCCCCATATACAATAAAAGCATGGCCCGTATTCATAAAGTGTCTCAGAGTAGATGATCTACGATCAGGTCCCACCTGTCCATGTGATCTTATTCATTATGATCTAAAAGGCATATCTGATCCTAGATCAAGCACTGAGACGGAGGAAGGCCCACAACACTACCTCAGTAGGCTGGAATATCAGGTTGTCCACTCGAAAATACCCATGGACGAGGGCCACTTCATTCGATTGTCATTGGTGGACATGTTGCTCATCAGCCAATTCTGGGTAATAAATGGTAAAATAAAGTACTTTAATTAACTTTGAGAACGGAATGGATTATGTTATGTATTGGCTGTTTTTGTTCTGTTATGTATCATTTTTGTCAGTTTTATTATGTTATTTTTCTCCCCTGTGAACCGTATAATTAAAAACGACTATAAAAACATTGAAAAGAGACTGGGATGGGAATTTGTGGAGGATATCCATCCTCTACCTGTCTCTTGCAGTAGCCAGGCCCTCTCCCGTACCCCTCTAGGTCCAGGGTGGTTAGGTCCAGGGAGTGAAGATGGGCCAGAACCTCCCCTGCTGCCACAAACAGGGCTGCCCTCTCCTCTGCAGGCTGGGTTACTGGGAACCCAGCAGAGAACAAGGCCTTCTGCACCCGATACTCTCTGTCCACCTCAACACACCAAAGACAGAGAAGAAATGTCAAACCTTTCAAATAAATATGAGCAATTCATACATAACATAATGTGTAAAATCAAAAGCATTGACAGAGTAGAGCATCAAAGCCAGCTGTTTAGCCTACGTTGTCTCCCACTACTGGACAAAAACAACTATGTCAATCAGCAGTGCCTTTTACTACAGTGTTCTTACTCATTTGCAAATCATTTCAAAGGTTTCTGCAACATAACTACCTTGTGAGCCCCTGGTAGCAGCATACCAGGTGGTTTCTTTCTCAGGATATAGCAGTCAGAAGCAGAGGCGATCAGTGCCGTTTAAGATGAGGGAGGACGATTATTTTTTCATGAGCATGGCCTTATTTCTATTACAGCATATTGGATGACTCTCATTCATATTCCATTCACCCAGTTCAATATAACAGCGATAGGTTTAGGCTACTACATGACACTCGGATTTCCCTATACCCATCACAAGGTTGCTACAACCTAGCCTATGAATGAAAGTTTACAACGTAGGTGCACACAGGTTGAGTGACAAATTTGAGGTCACAGACAGTGACACAGGGACAGACAGTGACATTCAATGCCGCCTTGCTCACTCTTGCCTGCATCTAGCTGATATAGGGTGTAATCAGTAGTTCAACAGTTGCAAACAAGAGTTTCTATTGGACAAATTCAGGTATGTTTATCCCGGTTTTGTTCCGTTTGCTTCCGTTTAAGAAACATTTTTCAACAGAATCGGCAGAATGAATACACCCCTGATCACACGTAAACACAGTTCACTTTCATAGCAGCCACTTTGTATCGCTTGCCGCATCTATGCGCTCTCCTCCTCTCACCTCTTCCCTTTGCTTATGGACTTCAATTCACAACACATCAGCTGTATGTGACCAGGCGAAAAAAAACATTCCAAGCCAAACCGCTACACATAGCCTACATCATTGTCACCTTATTAGCTAAAGAACTGATATGAGGTTTTTATAGTGTTATGATGTCATGTCATAGTATCTTGGGGAACAGGTTAGAGTTAGTAGATCATTGGCTTGGTGCCACGGAGTCTACATTCCGTTATGTCAAAAGAGATTACTGATGTTTAGGATAGCATGATTGATGGACAGGATACTGACTTGGGGTAAAGAGTAATAACATCAAAGAATGGGAGTGCTCATTGACGATGGCCAGATGTGGTTGAAGAAATGTGTAACCAAGAGTATAAAATATGTGAGATTTGGGTATGTGGGCAGTTCACCTGACAAGGGGGCAAGGTTATGTCCGTTTGTTAGATGAACCCACGGGCTCGTGATCAAATAAATGCTTGGTAAAATCTCCATAGAATGTCTAAGTAAATTATTGCATCTTGAACTTCTCAATACCAGAAACTCATCATAACAAGAACGTCATAGTCTGCATAGATAATAGAACTAACGCGTTAGTAAACCCACTACAATCATGTAGTAATGTTATAGTGTACAGTCAGTAAGCAGTTACACCGGCAGGCCCCGGTGGCAATATATTAGTAATACCAAAAGCTTACCTTGACTTGAAAGAGTTCCAGTGTTTTGTTGGAAAGTCATAGCCAGCTAGCTAACATAGCACCCTTCTGTTTGAGCAGGGTGTTTCAGTAGGCTAAACTAGCTAGCTGCATTTGCTAGCTAAGTAAGTGAAACTGAAAGTGAAAAGAAATCTCTCTCTCTATTTCTTTCTTGCTTCTCCTTCATTTTTTCAAAATTGTTCAACTATTGTCTTTCTCTCTCTGAGTCAACTACTCACCACATTTTATACACTGCAGTGCTAGCTAGCTGTAACTTATGCTTTCAGTACTAGATAATTCTCTGATCCTTTGATTGGGTGGACAAAGTGGCAGTTCATGCTGAAATAGCTCTGATAGGCTGGATGACGTCCTCCAGAAGTTGTCATAATTACTGTGTAAGTCTATAGAAGGGGGTGAGAACCATGAGCCTCCTAGGTTTTGTATTGAACTCAATGTACCCAGAGGAGGACGGAAGCTAGCTGTCCTCTGGCTACACCATGGTGCTAACCTACAAAGTGCTGTTGAGGCTACAGTAGACCTTTTTTGCAAAATAGTGTGTTTAAATCAATTATTTGGTGAAATGTGATTATATTTAGTATAGTTTTATCTAAAAATGATAACTTTTTAAATGTTTTACAATTGACATTTTTTTATGAATGTCAGAAGGTGTCTGGATAAGGAAAGTGGGGTTGGACTGTCCAGCACTGAAATGACCAGACACGGAAGGCTTGGACCCTGACTCACAAAATGTAATGAAGCATGCACATTTCTATGGAACACTAGCTAAAAGGTGAACTTAACTGCCATGTCTGACAGTGAGCTTGTCATTGTTCGACACTCCTTATGTCTTTCCAGCTAGATATCTTTCCAGCTAGATATCGCTGAAGATGTTGAACGTGTGCTGTTCCCGAACAGAAGTTGTTTGGTCTTCCATATTTCAGTGTGGATTAATCATTTGTAAAAGCAAAGGTAAAAGTCATACGGGTGAATGAAAAAAAAAATCCTACAATATAGATAGTCGAATTGTTTCGTTTTAGCATCAATGCTTTACTGATCAAACCTTGCGCAAGTCAGATGTTTTGACGTTTTCTGTAAACCGTCACTGCAAGAGCGACTGAGCTCATTTCACGGATCTGTAAAAGCACATTATTTGCTGAAGGCACGTACTGAGCGATCATAGAATTGACAGATGCCGTAGAGATCGTTTACAAATAGGAACACTTTTACTCACCGCAGTTTGTTTCCGCCCGGACGTAATTTACAGAAACTCAGGCTGCCAGCTGATTCGAGCTGTGTAGACGTGTACTAGTTATCATCCATCGCTTGTAATCTTTCTTTAATTGTTAAGGCTTCGCAATCTAGGCATTTTACATTTGAACAACGGAGTAGCTAGTGTGCCTTATTCCTTATAGAAACATGACCTCAGTCGAAGAACTGAAGCTACGAGTGAGGGAGCTGGAGAATGAGTTGATCAAGTGTAAGCAAAAGCGATGTACGGCGATGTGTGCCGAGGAACCTGCTGACAACAACCAACCTCATCACAGACCAAGGATCGACAAAATGAGTGCTGAAGTAGTAGATTCAAACCCTTACAGGTAGCTATGTTAGCTGTCAAAATCTAACGGCCGCGAATGGAGTCATTTGTGATAAATACACAAGACTAGCTACCTGATCTGGTTGACTCCCTAGAAAAATGGCCGGCACATCCCATATGGTGTAAACTGCTTACCTCAACATGTTCTTTCTTACCTTGCAGTCGTCTGATGGCTTTGAAGCGAATGGGCATTGTTGAAGATTATGAGGTAAGATATTAATTTCTATTATCTGATACACATAAATGTTGCACAATTCCAGTATTTCCCCAATATTCCGAGGCTTTCTAGAAATAACTTGGAGGATTCCTGGATTTCAGGAATGTTTTAACTTTATACAGATCTAATATGACAATAACATGGCATGTGTTTCTATCCTACTGTTAAACAGAAAATCCGGACGTTCACTGTAGCTGTGGTGGGTGTTGGAGGAGTTGGAAGCGTGACTGCAGAAATGCTCACAAGATGTGGCATTGGTAAGGTAATACAAATTTCACATTACTACATCAACATGTCTTTATATCATCCGTTTCACCCTTATGCTGCCGATGGACAATGTCCATCAATGCAACATGCATTGCGTCATTCTACCTTATGCGCCTTCTCTTTGTACAGCTCATCCTGTTTGACTATGACAAAGTGGAGCTGGCCAATATGAACAGGCTGTTCTTCCAGCCTCACCAGGCTGGCCTCAGCAAAGTAGAGGCAGCGGAACACACACTCAGGTACAGTTACCTGTTAGGGGGGGGGGGGGGGGGGCTGGTTAATGCACCCCATGTGTGATACCCCAGATATTTACATAGTTTTATATTATATCATGTCACTATAAGGTGCTTGCATATTTTTTTAATTATGTCAACAGGACTATCAACCCAGATGTGCAGTTTGAGACCCACAACGATAACATCACCACCATGGACAATTTTGCACATTTCATGGATCGCATAAGGTGATAAGTGCTGTCCTCTCCTTTCTCATAAGTGCCATACTGCTTGTGTGGTCATTTGTACAGAGCGTTTTCAGTATTGAATTGCTCCACTGTGCTGTTCCATACAGCATGAGTGTTTTCTCTCTGTTCTCTGACTCTCAAATTCAAGTTGATTAGAAAACATCATTGCATAACAGTATGAAATTGGATACTGTAATGTACATGATGAGGACAACTCTGAGATAAACACATACAGTGCCTTCGGAAAGTATTCAGACCCCTTGACTTGTTCCACATTTTGCTATGTTACAGCCTTATTCTAAAATAGATTAAATAAATGTTTTGCCTCATCAATCTACACACAATACCCCATAATGACCAAGTGAAAACAGGTTTTTAGAACTGTTTGCAAATTTATACAATAAAAAAAACAAATACCTTATTTACATAAGTATTCAGACCCTTTGCTATGAGACTCGAAATTGAGCTCAGGTGCATCCTGTTTCCGTTGATCATCCTTGAAATGTTTCTACAACTTGATTGGAGTCCACCTGTGGTAAATTCAATTGATTGGACGTGATTTGAAAGGTACACACCTGTCTATATAAGGTCCCACAGTTGACAGTGCATGTCAGAGCAAAAACCAAGTCATGAGGTCGAAGGAATTGTCTGTAGAGCTCAGAGACAAGGATTGTGTCGAGGCACAGATCTGGGGAAGGGTACCAAAAAATGTCTGCAGCATTGAAGGTCCCCAAGAATGCATTGCCCTCCATAATTCTTAAATGGAAGAAGTTTGGAACCACCAAGACTCTTCCTAGAGCTGGCCGCCCGGCCAATATGAGCAATCGGGGGAGAAGGGCCTTGTTCATGGAGGTGACCAAGAACCCGATGGTCACTCTGACAGAGCTCCAGAGTTCCTGTGTGGTGATGGGAGAACCTTCCAGAAGGACAACCATCTCTGCAGCACTCCACCAATCAGGCCTTTATCGTAGAGTGGCCAGACGGAAGCCACACCTCAGTAAAAGGCACATGACAGCCCGCTTGGAGTTAGCAAAAAGGCACCAAAGGACTCTCAGACCATGAGAAACAAGATTCTCTGGTCTGATGAAACCAAGATTGAACTCTTTGGCCTGAATGCCAAGCATCACGTCTGGACGAAACCTGGTGCCATCCTTACGGTGAAGCATGGTGGTGGCAGCATCATGCTGTGGGGATGTTTTTCAGCTGCAGGGACTGGGAGACTAGTCAGGATCGAGGGAAAAATGAACGGAGCAAAATACAGAGAGATCCTTGATGAAAACCTGCTCCAGAGCGCTCACAACCTCAGACTGGGGCGAAGGTCCACCTTCCAAGAAGACAACGACCATAAGCACACAGCCAAGACAACGCAGGAGCGGCTTCGGGACAAGTTTCTGAATGTCCTTGAGTGGCCCAGCCAGATCCCGGACGTGAATCCGATCTAACATCTCTGGAGAGACCTGAAAATAGCTGTGCAGCAACTCTCCCCATCCAACCTGACAGACCTTGAGAGGATCTGCAGAGAATAATGGAAGAAACTCCCCAAATACAGGTGTGCCAAGCGTGTAGCGTCATACCCAAGAAGACTTGAGGCTGTAATCGCTGCCAAAGGTGCTTCAACAAAGTACTGAGTAAAGGGTCTGAATACTTATGTGATATTTCAGTTTAGTATTTTGTATAAAATTGCAAAAAAATCTAAAAACCTGTTTTTTGCTTTGTCATTATGGGGTATTGTGTGTAGATTAATGAGAGGGGAAAAAAACGATTTAATCAATTTTAAAATAAGTCTGCAACGTAACAAAATGTGGAAGAAGTCAACTGGTCTGAATACTTTTCGAATGCACTGTACAATCACATAACAATAATCTAGGAAGGGGGTTATTTTGGTTAAAGTTTCAGCATCTAGAGATGTAGGATCTTAATTTGAGCCAGTTTGCTACAGCAGGAAGATAATCCTGCAGCAACAAGAAATGTGAATTATTATGTGATTATAATTAATGGACATTTTTGTAGAAGTCTGAAATTTCAAAGTGGAAATTATAAAATTCGAAAGCCTTTTCAACCCTCGAATACACTACAAGTTTTACAGGAATGTTCTCCTGCAACAGGATGATCAAATTAAGATCCTACGTCTTTACCACTGGGAAGCCTACATTACAAATAACTAAAAACATTTCCACATGTTCGCTACAAGGTCAGTCTGTATGCTCTTCTGTTCATCTGTGTGTTGTCTCAGTCATGGGGCGCTTCAAGAAGGAAAGGCTGTGGACCTGGTCCTGAGTTGTGTGGACAACTTTGAGGCCCGGATGGCCATCAACACAGTCAGTACTAACATATATCCCTCATTCCCTGACTATAAAACATACATTATTGAGTTGGTGAAGATCAGATGATGTATGTTGGTCATCTTCTTGCTGCCTAGGCGTGTAACGAGCTGAGTCAGATCTGGATGGAGTCAGGTGTGAGTGAGAACGCTGTGTCTGGACATATCCAGCTCATCATCCCTGGGGAGACGGCCTGCTTCGCAGTACGTCACAACACAAACTTACTGTATAGGCAAAAGACAGTGTTCGAAAATGAATTGTGGCAGATGGCGGTACACTAACCCAATGTTACATTTTATGCCTTTCCATAACCCTAACCCTTATCTTAACTCACTGAAGCTATTCCTAACCTTAACCCAACCCTTGTTCTTAACCTTAATTAATTTTCACCCCTATACCCTTTTCCACCCCTATGCCTAAACTTACGTTTTTTCTTTCTGGCAGCTTAATATATACTTCCTAAGCAATATTGTTCTCTACTCCATATAAATTGATGTCTGTGAACTTACCCAAAACACAAGCTTTGTTTGCCATAGATGACATGAGTTGATGCTATGGAGTTGAAAGTGATCACCTGGGGTGTATTCAGTGATGAAACATTCTGAACGTCTGTTCTACACGGTACATTTCTATCTGAACGTTCTGTAATGTTACATCCTCTGAACATGGCCCTGTTGATGTCAATGCTGTGCAGTGTACTTATCTCCTCCTCAATGTGACAGTGTGCTCCTCCCCTGGTGGTGGCGGCCAACATTGATGAGAAGACCCTGAAGAGGGAGGGGGTGTGTGCTGCCAGCCTACCCACCACCATGGGCGTGGTGGCAGGGATCCTGGTCCAAAACGTCCTCAAGTAAGATCTGAATGACATTTGTTTGTAAATGAGTCCTGCTTCATATTCATTAGGCACCAAATGGTATACAACGTATTGAAACCGGGAGGGACTACCTGAACTTGTCCAATAAGAAACACTTCATTTTCTGGTGTGAAGCTTTTTGCTATGATGCGCTCTAATGAATACGACCCTGATCATAGCCCACAATTCACAAATACCCATAACAGGGTTTCCTATGAAGATATTCTAGTAGTGGTTTGTGGTCCTCAGGTACCTGTTGAAGTTTGGCACAGTCAGCCACTACCTGGGCTACAATGCTATGCAGGACTTCTTCCCAACTATGGCCATGAAGGCCAACCCCACTTGTGATGACCGCCACTGCAGGAAACAGCAGGAGGACTATAAGGTGACTGACCAAGGAGGCCTCTCTCTCGCTCTTTTCTTCTCTCTCTCTCTCTCTCTCTCTCTCATATATCATGACCTGGGCTGTGTGAGGGATGTACATGACCTGGAACAGTTGTAATTCATTGGTGTGTGTGCTTTGTGGCCCAAAGAAAAAAGAGGCAGAGCGGCCGAAAAAGGTTGCAGAGGAGGCGGTAGAGGCGGCGGTGGTTCACGAGGAGAACGACTGGGGTGAGTTAGCTAGAGCGTTGATATTACCTAAATGTATTGTCCATTGTAAGTGATCCTGTCTAGCTACCATTACTGACCTATGTTTTTGCTCTGTTAGGTATTGAGCTTGTGTCGGAGCAGACAGACGAGGAACTCAAGGCCGCCTCAGGCCCAGTCCCTGACCTCCCAGAGGGCATCACTGTGGCCTACACCATCCCTGAGAAGGTCAGTACCATACAAACCTTATAAGAATACTATATTATTGTAGCGATCTCTTAACGAATGGCGACAATGCAATGCTCCTTGTTGGTCTCGAACCTGGGTCTTCCAGCCACTAGGCAGACCTTCTAAACACTGCTCCAATAAGGCATCTCAAGTAAGTTTAGACTAATAATGACCTTTGTCTTCTTGTCCAGGAGACAGGGGCATCAGGAGGGGAGACGGTGGAGGAAACGGAACAGAGTCTAGAGGAGCTGATGGCTCAGATGAGGAAGATGTAACTAGGACCAGACAATCATCGTTATCATCGTCATGCATCGCTTATCTCAGCAACATCGCAGTGAACCTACACAGCAAATTGGCCAGTGTTACCTAGTGTTGATATTTCAGTGTAACATTTCTGTTGATTCAGGAGGTAAATTAACTCAGTTTTAAATTAACACTCAGTTGTGTAAAATAACCCCAGTGTTGGTATTAATAACCAAATGCTGGATATCCCCACTCTGGCTGGATTCCAATAGGAATTACACATAACTTTGCAAGCCAGCATAATGTGACTTGCAGGTCTGATGTGGCCTGTAAACCATGAGTTTCAGGCCACTGTATTAGAGTAAAACTAGGCCCACAAAATAAGGCCTTTTGAAATACGTTTTGTATTGGCCTAAATTAAATTTGAATGATAATATATTCGCTCAGGATCTCACTTGGTGAAGGCCACAAGACTGAAAATTAATTAATGCTACAATCATGTCTCTGTCACTAACAAATAGTCATGGGTGGTAACTCTACAGTTCACTCGGAAGGCAAGGCATCCTGCGAAATATGCAAACAAGGCTTTACAGTAAGCAGTGTTTTAATTTAACACTGAAAGGTGTGGACCCATATAGACACTGGAACAGTTACATTTGACACTGTGTTGATTTAACACTGGAGAATTTGCTGTGTACCACCTTTAATAACTAAGCATTGACACCACACAAAGCTCCATTGCAGGAGGTATACTGTATCTTACTGTCTCTCCATGTTCTAAAATAGAGTGAGTTCTTTCTTACCCACTAACGCTACTACAGTATCAATACTCCTTCATGCAAGTGCTTCTGCTCCGTCACAAAGCAAATGCAATGCATGGTTAATGACTTTAAGTGCTGCTGTTGAGAATTATCTTCATATTCCCTAAGGGTAGGAATTTACTAGTGTAAGCCCATTCAGTATGGAAGCATATAGCTGTCAATTCAATTTGAATTTCAGCATCAGCAAGCACAAACTGGCAGTTGAAATAACCTATCCTAAAATCGTATGTAATTCTCTTAAATTATCTTTTTGATGTAATGGACCAGGTACATACAGATGTTAGCAGTATAATGAATTATGCTTATGTGTCAGCTGTTGACTGAGAGGAACGATTGTAACACTCGAAATTGAAGAAGTGGATAAAGGGCTGTATTCAATCCATATCGCGGAAGTTCAGCATTACAGCGTGATTTAAATTTAAAGGCAATATTCCCGCATTAGTGGAGACTGCATTCACAGTAAATGCTGCGTATGTCGGCTCAATCGGAAATTACCTTAACATTTCTATCACACAATCTGTAATGCTTCAGCGGTACAGATTGAATAAAGCCCTAAGCCTCTGACCAACCACTACTACTTTATAGAATTCTTATTAATGAATTAAATTGGATTGTTAATGCATTTCCCACCTTCTTCTAAAACATTTTGAATGATAGTGAATGAGGCCCAACATTTCTCTGCATGACAAACCTGCCTTTACTGTATCTGCGCCCTGTCCAGCTTTGGTCCATACCGCGACGACAACAAGTGGGCTCTGCATTCATTGTTGTAGTGGCGCGATGGACCAGTGCTACTCCATGTCATGCTCTCAGCTGTTTAAACTGATATACCTGTAACCAAAACGTTCTCTGCTGAAACTGTACTGACTGACTCTGTACACACCTTGTTTCAATAAAGTATTTATTAGCCAGAATACAGTTGATTAGTTTATGGTATTTACTTTTTCATTGACAGATTCTTACACAGTGACATGAGTACACAGTAAGACAATGCACTTGTACTATATGTTTGGCACATATAAAATGGCAGGGTTTTGGTACCTTGCGTCACCTTTGGCTTCATGTACATTCACACAGACAATGACGGCTCAACCAGGGTCGTATTCATTAGTGCACAAAGTACCAAAATGTTTTGCAACAAAAACACGTTTTTTTTTATTGGACAAGCTCAGGGTAGTTCCTCACCGCTTCGGTCCGTTTTCTTCCATTTGTTGTCTAGTGAATACACCCCAGTGAAATTGTGTGGTAAGAGATCCAACACTCAACATCGCAGTGAACCTACACAGCAAATTGGCCAGTGTTACCTAATGTTGATGTTTCAGTGTAACATTTCTAATGTTGATTCAGGAGTTAAATTAACACTCAGTTGTGTAAAATAACCCCAGTGTTGGTATTAATAACCAGTGTTATCCAAGCAGATCTTTAGAATGTTTGATTCAATATCTATGTTTTTGCATGTAGGTTGATTGATTAATTAATCTTATGCTACTCAAATATAAATAACATGCATTTTTCGGAACTAATCCAATCTGTTACTTGCATCCGTTACTGAAATGGTTGTTCCAGAGGTAGTCTCATATCTTAGTTTTTCCAACCCTAGAATTCATTCCGAATGCAGGTGAATAACAATTCCAAATGCTGGATATCCCCACTGGCTGGATTCCAATAGGAATTACACATAACTTTGCAAGCCAGCATAATGTGACTTGCAGGTCTGATGTGGCCTGTAAACCATGAGTTTCAGGCCACTGTATTAGAGTAAAACTAGGCCCTCAAAATAAGGCCTTATGAAATACATATTGTATTGTCCTAAATTAAATTTGAATGATAACATATTCGCTTAGGATCTCACTTGGTGAAGGCCACAAGACTGAACATTTACGAATGCAACAACCATGTCTCTGTCACTAACAAATAGTCATGGGTGGTAACTCTACAGTTCACTCGGAAGGCAAGGCATCCTGCGAAATATGCAAACAAGGCTTTACAGTAAGCAGTGTTTTAATTTAACACTGAAAGGTGTGGACCCATATAGACACTGGAACAGTTACATTTAACACTGTGTTGATTTAACACTGGAGAATTTGCTGTGTACCACATTTAATAACTAAGCATTGACACCACACAAAGCTCCATTGCAGGAGGCATACTGTATCTTACTGTCTCTCCATGTTCTAAAATAGAGTATCAGAACCTCTGCAATAGGGCATAATTCTGTTGAAAAACTGATGGCATGGGTTTGAAACCCATTATTTTACTTGCATAAGTACTTTATGTGAGGTAAATACATTTAAACTGCTCAGTGATATACAATTATTGATATGCACCATGGCATGAGATCAAGGTTCCATCTTGAAACAGGCATATGTCATAGTTTACATGAATAAAATACAATATGCATTCATATCTATTACTGTACTGCATGAAGACTTGGCACTGATTGCATAACCGGCACAGCAAAAGTACCTGAGCTCAGTATTCTGTAACAATACAGCTCCAATATTTGTTTTTATATGAGCATGCATACGATAGTTATGGAAGCGTACATCAATAGGAATTTCCATTTTGGTCATTTAGCAGACACCCTTATCCAGAGCGACTTACAGTTAGTGGTGATATTGATTAATCATCCAATTACCATTATCAAATTCAAATGTAATTTCAACAGCTACACACTTCCATAGGTACTAACAGAGTCATTGAAATGTGGAAACGTTTGTGAATATGGAATAAAAAACCTTCTTAACCTGAGTTTCAGGCCCTGACAAGGGCGGTGTTGACATCATTTCACATTCTTTCATAATAATAATAATAATAATAATACATGATTACATTAATAATATATATATTTTTTAAACATAACAATAAAGCCATTTAACAGACATTAAATAAAGCATACTTCATATTTCCATAAAGGCAGTTAGCTACAGTACACTTGACAGGCGACATTACAACACCGTTCCATCTCAAAGCAGCATAAAGAACCATTGAGAGTTCGATGGACGTTCTTCTCAGGAATGCAGATTGTGGACCCTGGCTCTACTTCAATTCTCTTTCCGTGATTCCCCGGACCCTATCTCACCATCTCCTTCTCAAAGAATATTGTTGGAGGAGAAGATCCAAGATCCCTACCCTTGGACCTTCTCCACTAATGCATTTCTATAAGGAGATGAGCAAAGGTCACACGAGGAATCGAGGGAAGACAAATTGGGAAAGAGCCCCAGTGTTCTAGGTCCCCCACGGGTGAGGTGGTAGAGGGAGGGATCACCTGGGGGCATGTTGGAGAGGGGCTGGCCCTCGTAGGCTAAACATGTCCCCACTGGACGAGTGCCGAGACGGGGCCTTCCCACACACCAGAGACGGCTCCGCCTCCTTGATCTCCATGGCTCGCTTGTAGAGCTCTGCTGCTTTCTCAAAGTCCCCCTCCTCATAGCTGGGAGCGAGAGAGGAGGGAAGACAGGATGATGGACAGAAAAGAGAGAGAAAAGGTAACAGGGTTCATAAAGAGATTACTAATGAAAATAAAACTAGTCCTTCAGCTTATAGTACTAGTATTAACAATAAGATGGTGAGTGTGTGTATGTTTCATTATTTTTCAATGTCATGACAATTCCATTTTAAAATCATATAAAAATACAAAATCAACCAAAGCAAAGTTGGTCGAATGTTTGAATTTAGAATGTTTGGTTGTTGAGAGCAACAGTGTTGATTTGAAACCCAATCTATTTCTTTGCCATGGTGATTCTATTCATAAGAATTTAATTTAAATATCATGACATCACAATTGAAAAGAGCAACTTTAGTAGAATTTCAAATGTTAGAATGTTTGGTTGATAAGAACCAATGTTGATTTGGAACTCAGTTTTGGTGGCGACAACCCCAAGACTTGATGTGCGACTTGCTTCTGCTATCTAATATTATATATTTTTTTAAATGAGCTTCCACACCCAGCAATATAGCCAGTCCCGAACATTGATGGCACAGGGTCATCAGTATCTTCCTGCAAGACCTTCAAATCCCATCATCAATGGTAAAAATCTAACACTGTATTCTTACCAGGATTTGTTTCATTACAAAACATTTTGTATTTTTTCATGTTTAAAATACATTTAGGTACATATATAATTGGTTTTGTATGTGACTTTAGGTCAGGTCATCCCGAGTTTCTCAGAGATCTTGCATTGTGAGTGGTACTGGAAATCCCACTCCCTAAACATTGCCAGCTTCTGCTACCACAACCAACACCTGCCTGAGCAGGAGAAACGCTGTCTGTTCCACAAGGACATGGAGATGAGGCGCAAGGTGGAGTTCTACAGGAAAGTGCGGAGGGAGTTTTACGAGAATGGAGTTTTACAAGTATTTTCTGATGAAGAGATGGAGAAACTGGGAGCCATTCCGGGGGTGTTGGGGTTGGCTGTAGAGATGGGCTTCCTGTAAATCACTGATCTATTTTGTAGAAGTAGAAGTGAGATAAGATCAAATAGAAAATATAGGATTGGTAGGTATAGTAAGTTTTGTTACTGTCTATTTTATATCAATAAAAATAAGATTTAAAATTGTGATGTGTCTTTTTTGAGTGTGTGTATTTGTGTGATGCTGGGTGCGTTCCAGAGCACATACAAGAATAGAGAAGGTGTTTGTGTGTCTGGGACAGGTCCATGTGTATATGTGTGTGTGTGTGTACAGTATATGTTTGTGGGGTGTGTGTGTGCACTCACCTGAGTACAGCTAGGTTCTTCAGCGTCTCTCCGACACGTGGGTGTGAGCGTCCCAGACTGTCCTCATACACTCTGAGAGCCTGTTCATACAGGGGCAGCGCTTCACTGTGCTTCTTCTGCCAGACACACAATAACACATCACAGATATAACATAAGTACTTAACCAAATGTCCAGACAGAGTCTCTAAGGAGAGACAGTAAGTCTTGACAGTCTTGAAATCAAACCATATACAGCTAAATGCTTTCCAGCAGTTCCCATCTTTCTCTTGTATGCAAAAGATCTGGGTTTCAAATACATAAAAAAAAAGATATATATGTTTTTATCTGTGCCTGTTTGAGCTTGCCTAGCTTAATAAACCAATAGAAAAGTTCCAAAACTGCAAACTCCACCCTTCTGGCACTCCAGGCAGACTCAAGGAAATGCTTAAAGTATTTGAAAGGATTTTTCAATTCGAACCCAGGTCTGGTATGCAGTTAACTGTTTGAAGTGTTGGTCCTCTCACCAGGTGGCAGTAGAGTACAGCCAGGTTGACCAATGCTGTGGCCACACTGGGGTGTTTAGGTCCAAAACTCTTCTCCCTGATGTCCAGAGCCAGCTCATACAGAGGAACAGCCTTCTCCAGCTTCCCCTGGACAACACAAACATCTCCCCTGTCAGCTTCACAAATCAGGATTACACACAAGCTACAAGCTAATAGAATTTGAGGTGAGTGAGTGAGGAATAAGAATTAGAGCTCTCTAGGCTAACTTTCAAACAGCAATGCACATAAATTTACCAGACATGGGACGGTTGCATTCAGATTAATCCTACATCTGGAGTGGACTAAAAGCATTTGAATGTATACTTTAATGCAGTGGTATTCAAACTTTTTCAGCGGGGACACAATTTTTTCCACCAGAATGTCTGGGGAACCCATTTATTTGGCAAGAATTTCTCACAACCCCAACCCAAATCTAATGACACAACCCCCCACTAGGGGTCGCAACCCCAACTTCGAATACCGCTGCTTTAATGTATACTCTTAGTTTTTACGCTTTATAGGGTCTGTTCAACAGCCCCATGGTGGCTTTGCTAGACACGTCCCATCTCCTAAACTCACCCTGCGTTTGTAGAGCATGGCCAGGTGTTTCAGGGTGTAGGCCAGGGAGGGGTGGTCAGGGGACAGGGCTCTCTTCCGGATGTCCAGGGCTCTCTCGTACATGTCCTCTGCGGTCTCATACTCTCTCCTCTCAGTGTGTAGGGCCGCCAAGTTGTTGAGGGACTGGGCACAGTCAGGGTGGTCCGGCCCCAACACACGCTGACGCATCTCCAGAGAACGGGTCAGAAACACTTTGGCTGCCCTGGACACATTAGAGAGACGCCTCGGTTCAAATAATATTTGAAATCTTTCGAATACTTTAAGCTTTTCTAGTGTCCCTGGAGTAGCTAGCTAGTGAAATATATTAAAAAACGAATCACATTGAAAACCATTGGTTACACTTTACCTTCTTTCATTTGGCAATCAAATATAACAACAGATGTAAAGTGGAGGGTTTGAAAAAGTGAATTAGTAAGTAAGCCTTGCGTGAGCCAGAACGACCCATTAGGGCATAAACCTGCAAGTACCTGTACCCCCCTTGACAGGACGCTAGTCTATCGCAGGGCCTTACCCCCAATCCATCTCCTTAAAGGACAACTTCACCAAAAACTATCTTTTGGTATTTGTTTCATTAGTCCATTGTTGATAAAGTCCCAAAATGTGTTGCATATCAGCAATCAAGTTTTCAAGATATGTGACTTTCAAAATAAAGAAATCTGGCCCGTATATCATACGTGACCCGTTTCAGGAAGCTTGGCGTATGTCACACGTCACTACCTCAAAATGTGTTTATTTTGCAGAAATTCCTTCTGGGACATTCATGTGCCCTAATAACAAACTTGTATGCCATCTGTAAATACAAATAAAATTGTTGGTTTAGCCACGGAAAAAGACAGGAACCTTCCCGCTAGCCATGATTGGCTGAGATAATGGATGGGCTGGACATGCCCAGAGATGAGTTTGGATTGGTCTGCCAAGTAGCATGCTTCTGTCTATAACATGAGCTGCTCAGTATATGTAGATAATACTTGCATGGAGAACTGCAAAAGTATTGCTACTGCTCTCAACAACATTGCTGCCCTGAATTTAGTTAGCCAGGTGTGTCTGGGGGTGATTACGGCCATCTATTGTATTTCAAGTTGTAATGGACTACTTTCTGCACACGGTCAGTGTGAACCGGAGTGACTTGACACAGCGCAGGTCAAACAAGCTGTACAAACAAAACAGAGTTAAAGGGGTTCTAGTCTGCTGTGAAGCGTTCATCCATGTATACGGGTAAGAGTCTAGCTACATTTTCAGATTATTATACGTTTCTAATTTTGTCAGAAAGTCATTTTCATTGCAAGTTAACCTAGTTGGTTAGCTTTAGCTACCTGCAGATTCATACTACAGCATTTCATGCACAGTGGCTAGCTATGAAAATCAGTTTGTACTGCTAGTAGTATTGTTTAGCTAGCTAGCCAGCTAGCTACATGTCTAAAAAAAAGATTCCACTTCGCCAGATGATTCCATGACCCATCAAGTTAGCCAGCTGTGTCTGAGTGATTACGACCATCTATTGTATTTCATGAACATTTGTAAATGTCTAGACAATAGTGACCCATCCACTTAGCTAGATGTGGCTGGGAGGTGGTTATAGCATTTCTTTCACATGACCCATCAATTTAGACAAGCGTGTCTGGTAGGGGTGTGCCGACATGACATACTCATATTCATAATTGTATCCGTAAATTGACAGTTGATATTCGGATCGGATTATATTCGTAATATGCATAAATAGATGGCAAAATACCCCCCTGTGCGTTCTCACTGCAAAAAAGCTGCAGATTAGGAGCAGCGCGTGGAGGGGTGTGTGTGTGTCTGTGTGTCCTCAATTTGCAGCGGGCAGCCAAGTTTGCTGTCACTCAGTCAGAATGCACATTAGCGTTTCATCTTTTTCCCTACCCTTGCCCCACTTGTTAGATATTATGCACATTGATAGCTTGACAGCAAACGTCCTCGCCATCTGATTGATCATAGTAGCAGGCAGCAGCAATCTAAATGATCAGACCGAAAACATGGAAGGAAAAGTGATCGAGTGAAATTATGAAGCGAGTGGACGGAGAAATACATCTTCACCCTATCAGAGCAGCAGGATCAACGTACTGCCCGCCTTTCTCTTTACAGACAGGCAAACTAGCCAGTTGAGTTATTTAGACCACGCACATGACTGACTCAAAGACAGTACAATATGGTTTAGAAACTCTGTGACTGACACATGAGAAACATGCTTGCTGGCACCCACATTTTTTTCTTCTTCCGATCACAGATAATTACAAAAAATACTTGGATCATAATCGTATCCAGAAAATGTATCAGTTACAAAAGTTTTTTTGTCTGACTACTCGGCACACCACTAGTGTCTGGGTAAGCATCATCTAATAATTATAAAATATTTATAAAATATTTTTATCTGGACACTATTTTTGATATTGCTACTATGCAAATATGCAAGCAATCCTTTCACTGTACCGTTTACACCTTCTGTATCCTGTGCATGTGAGATTATAAACTTTGATTTGATATAGTGTGTGTTTACCAGAGACGGTAATGTGAAGAACAACATGACCTGCACCAAAGTCAGATTAGGATATAGGCCAAGAACTAGATTAAGTGTATTTTTACCTGGAGTTTTTCCTTATTGTAGGCTACTACTCTCACCACTTTTAGTCTTGAAATATTTGGTTGTTTACTACACTATCTTACTCACTCTGTTTAGCACATGGTCTCACATGTGAATCCTTAAAAGAGATGGGTGGGGCTAAGGCTTAAGAGGGTGGGAACGATGCTGAATGGGTTTAGACAAAGAAGAGCTCTCCAGTAGGTGTACCAAAACATTCAAGGGCCATTTTCTCAAAAGTGGGGTTACAAGTTTATCAACTTTCAAAGCAGAATTACTTTCCCATTGTTCCTCAAATGCAGTGTATGATATACAATTGTCTAAAACTGGGGCGGCAGGTAGCTTAGTGGGTAAGAGCGTTGTGCCAGTAACCGAAAGGTCGCTGGTTCTAATCCCCAAGCTGACTAGGTGAAAAATCTGTCGATGTGCCCTTAAGCAAGGCACTTAACCCTAATTGCTCCTGTAAGTCGCTCTGGATAAGAGCGTCTGCTAAAATGTAAATGTCTAGCTCTGAGTCTGTACTTTTATCCAATGTAAAAAACACAATTTCAAATTTTGCAGATTTCTGTATTTTGGGACTATATCAACAATGGACAAAATATAGTCTTTGGGTGGAGTTTTTCTTTAATGCTGAATGCCATGCAGAGGCATCAAATTTCACGGGTCCCATATCCTCACAGACTTCTTCCTATAAAACCTGTTATATTTTTTGCCTGATTCCATATAGTTTTTCCCCAAATTCCGTTTTCTCCGTTTTGTTTTTCCTGGTTTCTGTTTTTCAGAAAACAACAAAATTGTATGTTTTAAGTCCACAACAATGTTTAAACCACATCAGGAGACCCCTTTTGAGGACTGGGAAAAATAGAAGAATTTAGGATTTTGGGGTTCGCTCATGTGATTGCAAAGTTTGCAAAACAAATGGCCACTAGATTGATGCAAATAATCATGATATCACTCTGCCAGGTAGGCATAGACTACTTTGTAGTTAACATTTAATTGAGATGTTTTTTGGGAAAGTCTTTCCATCTCTACCAGAAGAAGGTTATCATTAGCATCATCGCTAACGGCTACACAAAGTGTAGATGTGTAAGGACTGACTCACTCCAAGTTGTTCTGGAGGTAGTAGAGGACTCCCAGCTCGTTGAAGGTCTTGGCACAATCTGCTGTGTCTTTACCCAGAGTCAGCTCCTCTAACTGGATGGCCCGCCGACGTAGCAGAGTGAAGCCATACTGCACAGACAGAGACTTCACTATTAATGCATACTCATTAGACACAATCACACTGCAGAGATAGTGACACAGTCAATTCACTATTAATGTATACACATTACGCACACACCTACGCACAAAAGCACACACACACACTAAAGCCATAAAGCAGGAAGAACAACCAACCATGCTCTCATGTGTCCTCACCATATGGCCTTTCTGGCGGGCAGTCTTTTGGCGAATCCTCACAGACCTCTTCCTTAGTTTTTCGGCTTGCTCATACCTGTTAACTCAACACTATACACATCAGCTACTACAGCAACTGAAATAACTGCAACACTTAACAAAGAGTTGCAGTTAGTTTCGGAATGGGTGGCAAGGAATAAGTTAGTCCTGAATATTTCCAAAACTAAAAGCATTGTATTTGGGTCAAATCATTCACTAAACCCTAAACCTCAACCACATCTCGTAATGAATAATGTGGAAATTGAGCAAGTTGAGGTGACTAAACTGCTTGGAGTAACCCTGGATTGTAGACTGTCATGGTCAAAGCATATTGATACAGCAGTAGCTAAGATGGGGAGAAGTATGTCCATAATTAAGTGTTTCTCTGCCTTCTTAACAACACTATCAACAAGGAAGGTCCTACAGGCCCTAGTTTTGTCGCACCTAGACTACTGTTCAGTAGTGTAGTCAGGTGCCACAAAGAGGGACTTGGGAAAATTGTAGTTGGCTCAGAACAGGGCAGCACGGCTGGCCCTTAAAAGTACACGGAGAGCTAACATTGATGACATGCATGTCAGTCTCTCCTGGCTCAGAGTGGAAGAGAGATTGACTTCATCACTTCTTGTTTTTGTGAGAGGTGTCGACGACCTGAATGTACAGAGCTGTCTGTATGGAATACTGGCACACAGCTCGGACACCCATGCATACCCCACAAGACATGCCACCAGAGGTCTCTTCACAGTCCCCAAGTCCAGAACGGACTATGGGAGGCGCACAGTTCTACATAGAGCCATGACTACATGGAACTCTATTCCACATCAGGTAACTGATGCAAGCAGTAGAATCAGATTAGAAAAAAACTGGTAAAAATACACCTTGTGGGACAGCAGGGACTGTGAAGAGACACACACACAGGTACATACACACATACATATACAGTCGTGGTCAAAAGTTTTGAGAATGACACAAATATTAATTTTCACAAAGTCTGCTGCCTCAGTTTTTATGATGGCAATTTGCATATACTCCAGAATGTTATGAAGATTGATCAGATGAATTGCAATTAATTGCAAAGTCCCTCTTTGCCATGAAAATGAACTTAATCCCCCAAAAACATTTCCACTGCATTTCAGCCCTGCCACAAAAGGACCAGCTGACATCATGTCAGTGATTCTCTCGTTAACACAGGTGAGAGTATTGACGAGGACAAGGCTGGAGATCACTCTGTCATGCTGATTGAGTTAGAATAACAGACTGGAAGCTTTAAAAGGAGGGTGGTGCTTGAAATCATTGTTCTTCCTCTGTTAACCATGGTTACCTAGAAGGAAACACGTGCCGTCATCATTGCTTTGCACAAAAAGGGCTTCACAGGCAAGGATATTGCTGCTAGTAAGATTGCACCTAAATCAACCATTTATCGGATCATCAAGAACTTCAAGGAGAGAGGTTCAAATGTTGTGAAGAAGGCTTCAGGGCGCCCAAGAAGGTCCAGCAAGCGCTAGGACCATCTCCTAAAGTTGATTCAGCTGCGGGATCGGGGCACCACCAGTGCAGAGCTTGCTCAGGAATGGCAGCAGGCAGGTGTGAGTGCATCTGCACGCACAGTGAGGCGAAGACTTTTGGAGGATGGCCTGGTGTCAAGATGGGCAGCGAGGAAGCCACTTCTCTCCAGGAAAAACATCAGGGACAGGCTGATATTCTGCAAAAGGTACAGGGATTGGACTGCTGAGGACTGGGGTAAAGTCATTTTCTCTGATGAATCCCCTTTCCGATTGTTTGGGGCATCCAGAAAACACCTTGTCCGGAGAAGACAAGGTGAGCGCTACCATCAGTCCTGTGTCATGCCAACAGTAAAGCATCCTGAGACCATTCATGTGTGGGGTTGCTTCTCAGCCAAGGGAGTGGGCTCACTCACAAGCCATGAATAAAGAATGGTACCAACACATCCTCCGAGAGCAACTTCACCCAACCATCCAAGAACAGTTTGGTGACGAACAATGCCTTTTCCAGCATGATGGAGTCCCTTGCCATATGGCAAAAGCGATAACTAAGTGGCTCGGGGAACAAAACATCGAAATTTTGGGTCCATGGCCAGGAAACTCCCCAGACCTTAATCCCATTGAGAACTTGTTGTCAATCCTCAAGAGGCGGGTGGACAAACAAAAACCCACAAATTCTGACAAACTCCAAGCATTGATTATGCAGGAATGGGCTGCCATCAGTCAGGATGTGGCCCAGAAGTTAATTGACAGCATGCCAGGGCGGACTGCAGAGGTCTTGAAAAAGAAGGGTCAACACTGAAAATATTGACTCTTTGCATAAACTTAATGTAATTGTCAATAAAAGCCTTTGACACTTATGGAATGCTTGTAATTATACTTCAGTATACCATAGTAACATCTGACAAAAATATCTAAAAACACTGAAGCAGCAAACTTTGTGAAGACCAATACTTGTGTCATTCTCAAAACATTTGACCATGACTTTAGACACTCACTCTACACACACATACACATGTATGTTGTATTGTAATTATGTGATAGTGGAGTAGTGGCCTGAGGGAACACACTAAATGTATTGGGTAAAGTGTTATGAAATATAATGTCATGTAATATTTGAAATTGTATATAACTGCATGAATACAAATAGAAAACAGATGACTCGTCAATCACAAAGCAACTTTACTTGAAACACACCCACACACCACCCGCCACACACACACACACACACTCACTCACTTGTTCTGTTTCTGGTAGAGCATGGCCAGGGAGTCCAGTTCGCGTGCGACACAGGCGTGGTCCGATCCGAAGGCGTTCTCACTGATCTCCAGGGCCTGCTTGTAGAACTGCTCTGCGTTACCATACTTCCTCCATTGGACATAAACCCCGGCCAGCTGGTGTAGGGACAGGGCCACACTGGGGTGGTCCGGGTCCAGGGCCGTCTCCCGGATCTCCAGAGACCTCTGTAAGGGGGCTACCGCCTGGAGAAATATGGATGGATGGATGGACGGACGGACACGTTTATCATGTAGTTCGTCGACAGCATGACAATATACAGTGCATTCGGAAAGTATTCAGATCCATTCCCTTTTTCCACATTTTGTTACGTTACAACCTTATTCTAAAATGTATAAAATATTTTTTCCCATCATCAATCTACACACAATACCCCATAATGACAAAGCGAAAACAGGTTTTTAGACATTTTTGCAAATTAATTAAAAATAAACAAATGAAATACCTTATTTACATAAGTATTCATGACCCTTTGCTATGAGACTCGAAATTGAGTTCAGGTGCATCCTGTTTCCATTGATCATCCTTGAGATGTTTCTACAACTTGATTGGAGTCCACCTGTGGTAAATTCAATTGATTGGACATGATTTGGAAAGGCACACACCTGTCTATACAGTGGGGGAAAAAAGTATTTAGTCAGCCACCAATTGTGCAAGTTCTCCCACTTAAAAGACGAGAGAGGCCTGTAATTTTCATCATAGGTACACGTCAACTATGACAGACAAATTGAGGGAAAAAAATCCAGAAAATCACATTGTAGGATTTTTAATGAATTTATTTGTTAATTATGGTGGAAAATAAGTATTTGGTCACCTACAAACAAGCAAGATTTCTGGCTCTCACAGACCTGTAACTTCTTCTTTAAGAGGCTCCTCTGTCCTCCACTCGTTACCTGTATTAATGGCACCTGTTTGAACTTGTTATCAGTATAAAAGACACCTGTCCACAACCTCAAACAGTCACACTCCAAACTCCACTATGGCCAAGACCAAAGAGCTGTCAAAGGACACCAGAAACAAAATTGTAGACCTGCACCAGGCTGGGAAGACTGAATCTGCAATAGGTAAGCAGCTTGGTTTGAAGAAATCAACTGTGGGAGCAATTATTAGGAAATGGAAGACATACAAGACCACTGATAATCTCCCTCGATCTGGGGCTCCACGCAAGATCTCACCCCTTCGGGTCAAAATGATCACAAGAACGGTGAGCAAAAATCCCAGAACCACACGGGGGGACCTAGTGAATGACCTGCAGAGAGCTGGGACCAAAGTAACAAAGCCTACCATCAGTAACACACTACGCCGCCAGGGACTCAAATCCTGCAGTGCCAGACGTGTCCCCCTGCTTAAGCCAGTACATGTCCAGGCCCGTCTGAAGTTTGCTAGAGTGCATTTGGATGATCCAGAAGAGGATTGGGAGAATGTCATATGTTCAGATGAAACCAAAATAGAACTTTTTGGTAAAAACTCAACTCGTCGTGTTTGGAGGACAAAGAATGCTGAGTTGCATCCAAAGAACACCATACCTACTGTGAAGCATGGGGGTGGAAACATCATGCTTTGGGGCTGTTTTTCTGCAAAGGGACCAGGACGACTGATCCGTGTAAAGGAAAGAATGAATGGGGCCATGTATCGTGAGATTTTGAGTGAAAACCTCCTTCCATCAGCAAGGGCATTGAAGATGAAACGTGGCTGGGTCTTTCAGCATGACAATGATCCCAAACACACCGCCCGGGCAACGAAGGAGTGGCTTCATAAGAAGCATTTCAAGGTCCTGGAGTGGCCTAGCCAGTCTCCAGATCTCAACCCCATAGAAAATCTTTGGAGGGAGTTGAAAGTCCGTGTTGCCCAGCGACAGCCCCAAAACATCACTGCTCTAGAGGAGATCTGCATGGAGGAATGGGCCAAAATACCAGCAACAGTGTGTGAAAACCTTGTGAAGACTTACAGAAAACGTTTGACCTGTGTCATTGCCAACAAAGGGTATATAACAAAGTATTGAGAAACTTTTGTTATTGACCAAATACTTATTTTCCACCATAATTTGCAAATAAATTCATTAAAAATCCTACAATGTGATTTTCTGGATTTTTTTTCCTCATTTTGTCTGTCATAGTTGACGTGTACCTATGATGAAAATTACAGGCCTCTCTCATCTTTTTTCCCCCCACTGTATAAGGTCCCACAGTTGACAGTGCATGTCAGAGCAAAAACCAAGCCATGAGATCGAAGGAATTGTCCGTAGAGCTCCGAGACAGGATTGTGTCTAGGCACAGATCTGGGGAAGGGTACCAAAATATTTCTACAGCATTGAAGGTCCCCAAGAACACAGTGGCCTCCATCATTCTTAAATGGAAGAAGTTTGGAACCATCAAGACCTTCCTAGAGCTGGTCGCCCAGCCAAACTGAGAAATCGGGGGAGAAGGGCCTTGGTCAGGGAGGTGACCAAGAACCTGATGGTCACTCTGACAGAGCTCCAGAGTTCCTCTGTGGAGATGGGAGAACCTTCCAGAAGGACAACCATCTCTGAAGCACCACCAATCAGGCCTTTATGGTAGAGTGGCCAGACGGAAGCCACTCCTCAGTAAAAGGCACATGACAGCCCGCTTGGAGTTTGCCAAAAGGCACCCAAAGGACACTCAGACCATGAGAAACACGATTCTCTGGTCTGATGAAACCAAGATTGAACTCTTTGGCCTGAATACCAAGCGTCACGTCTGGAGGAAACCTGGCACCATCCCTACGGTGAAGCATGGTGGTGGCAGCATCATGCTGTGGGGATGTTTTTCAGCTGCAGGGACTGGGAGACTAGTCAGGATCGAGGGAAAGATGAACGGAGCAAAGTACAGAGAGATCCTTGATGAAAACCTGCTCCAGAGCGCTCAGGACCTCAGACTGGGGCGAAAGTTCACCTTCCAACAAGACAACGACCCTAAGCACACAGCCAACACAACGCAGGAGTGGCTTCGGGATAAGTCTCTGAATGTCCTTGAGTGGCCCAGCCAGTGCCCGGACTTGAACCCGATCGAACATCTCTGGAGAGATCTGAAAATAGCTGTGCAGCGACGCTCCAACCTGACAGAGATTGAGAGGATCTGCAGAGAAGAATGGGAGAAACTCCCCAAATACCAGTGTGCCAAGCTTGTAGCGTCATACCCAAGAAGATTTGAGGCTGTAATCGTTGTCAAAGGTACTTCAACAAAGTACTGAGTAAAGGGTCTGAATACTTATGTACATTTTATATTTAAGTTTAGTATTTTTAATACATTTTCAAAAATTTCTAAAAACCTGTTTTTGCTATGTCATTATGGGGTATTGTGTGTAGATTGATGAGGAAAAAAAACAATTTAATCAATTTTAGAATAAGGCTGTAACGTAACAAAATGTGGAAAAAGTCAAGGGGTCTGAATACTTTACGAATGCACTGTATATAAACATGAATTACACTGTATGACTCAGTAGTATAAAATGGCTCCTAATCTCCTATATGACCGTAGTACTGTCACGTACTCATAGAAATAGAATGACTAGAACAGAAATCCCCATTCAAATCAATGGGTCTGTACTGGGTGGACCGGCGACCATTTTACTACCCACTTTCTATGCACATACCTGACTGAGCAGGCCTAAGTCTTTGAGGAAGCGGCCCAGTGTCTCATACAGGTTGGCCAGCCTGATCATGCTATCCTCACTCTCACAGCTCTTCTCATAGTGCTTCAGAGAGTCAAAGTACTCAGTGGCCATGGAGCTCTTGTCTTTGCCCACATACTGCCAGTAGGCCAGCAGCTCGGAGAAATGGCCCCTAGGAACACCAACAGACATTGCAGAACTCTAATTGATGTTTATGGTACCTGTTCATCTCATTATTGCACATTTGAATCAATGTGAATTCTGTGCACAGATCAATCACTGATACAAATGCAAAAAACATAGGAGAATATACTACCACTCAGACAGACAAAGTCAAAACCAAAAGACACAAAGTAACAGTAGAAGGGCAAACAGTCTCATTGTTATATAGAAGTCTGACCTCTTGTAGAGGTTCTGGGAGACAAAGAGGTTAAGGAGGCTGAGCTGCAGCTTGGCCCTGTCCTCCTGCTGCTGGAGTAGCCAGGGCAGCTCGTCTGCCACCCGCCACGTCACCCTGTCCTGACTGAACACACACACACTTTAAATACACACCAACACTTATTGTGTCGTCAAAGATGAAGTCTAGTCACTATTGCTAATAATAGTGGTTGGCCAGACCTGAGTTGCTGGCTGAAGTAGTGGATGAGATTCTCTCTGTAGGCAGGAGAGCAGGTCCCTCCATCCATAAACTCCAGCCGGACAGCCTCCCCAGCCTAAAGCACAGAGATAGTGTTAACAGAAAGCCAGTGTGAAGCCTCTCACTTACATTTAACATCATTGAGTTTCAGACTATTACTCATACACACAGGACATAAACACGTCATGCGCAAAAACTGCCGAAAGTGGACAAAAAGGGAGATTTCACTGCTCTCATCCTACGGTGTCTGTAGGGGGACAGAAAGCTAACCTGTAGGTGTTGGAACCTGATGAGTCCACATCCCAGGCCTACAATACAGAGTCTCTGTAGGGTGTAGAGGAGGGAGGAGAGGACAGGCAGGCCCAGGTCTGGAAACACCGCCAGCACCTCTGACTCACTCACACCATTATGACTGGCACACACCAGACACAACATCTGAGGGAGGGAATCAACACACACAAACACACACGCATGAGAGAAAGCAGAACAGATCATCAGCTTCAACATTCTTGGGAAAACCCTTGACGTCACATTCTAAATAAAAGGCATGTGAAACTACTCCGATGGTTAGTGGCACAACATAATGTCCACACTCATTGTCTTCATCAGGGCATAAAATGAACACCCACCACCACCAAATGCAGTTAGCTTTAGGTATTGGCGGGTAAGAATGTCTATTTCACCAGCCACGTTGGCGGGTGATCAATTTACAGGGCTCTACAGTGAGAGCATTACATTCACCAATAAAAAGAGTCAAAAGTAAAGTATGAGGATGTGCGAGTTAGGGTTTGAAGAATGTTGCAGTAGCTGTTTTCAAAGTATTTCTGCTGTTTTTGTTTCATATCTGCTAAATGCACAAAGAAATACGAATCCTATATACCACCTCGCACAGAAACACTGCCTGGCATGGGAGCTATGCGCAATGAGTGAAGTGCTGATAGATTAACTTTTGGAGGCACAGCGCACAGGTATAAAAGTTGGTCTAAGTTACAAAGTGAGACTTTGTCCTTGGTTTTTCTTGGCTATTTATATTGTTTTGTTCACAAGTTCAGTTGTTTTTCAACGTTAGTTTGAGTCTGCTGATTCAACTGATAGCGAAGTGACGTCCTAGTCAGATCCCAAATCTCACACACACAGACACACTGACAGGACTCGAGTGTCCCCGTTACCATGGTAACCTCCCATCCTTAAAGGGGCAGCTGAACATTTTGTCTCTCATATTTTGATAATTAAAAGACTCAGGTCACAAAAAATGAAATGAAATTGAGCATTATACCTCATTACTTCTTACTAATACATTTCTTGTTTTAGAAACATTACAAAGCATGGTCATCCGTTTGTGTTTTTTGATGTAATTATGACAAAAAAATATTTTGGCTGGTAAAAATGTACTCCTGAGTGGCGCAGTGGTCTAAGGCACTGCATCGCAGTGCTAACTGTGCCACTAGAGATCCTGGTTCGAATCCAGGCTCTGTCGCCGCCGGCCGCGACCGGGAGACTCATGGGCGGCGCACAATTGGCCCAGCGTCGTCCAGGGTAGGGGAGGGAATGGCCGGCAGGGATGTAGCTCAGTTGATAGAGCATGGCGTTTGCAACGCCAGGGTTATGGGTTCGATTCCCACGGGGGGCCAGTATAAAAAAAATATGTATTCACTAACTGTAAGTCGCTCTGGATAAGAGCGTCTGCTAAATGACTAAAATGTAAATGTAAAAAATCTGAGTGGCTGGTAGATTTTTTAAATCTACCTGCCACAGTGGTTGGTGGACCAAACATAAAATTTTAGGCTGTGGTCTTCATCCCAAATGGCACCCTATTCCCTATATAGTGCACTACTTTTGACCAAAAGTAATGCATCTAGGGAATAGGGTGCCATTTGAGATGCAACAATGTTGCTAAGAATTGTATTACACAGCAGGAAACGCAAACTTGTAGTGTATTTGAGTTTTAAAAAGGCTTTTAAGATTTGTAATTTCCACAGAAATTTCAGACTTGATTTGCCCTAACGAAAAAGGTATCAACCCTTACCAAACTGTCCATCGATTATAATCCACATTTCCTGTTGCTGCAGGATTATTTTCCTGTTATAGCAAATTAAGATCCTACATCTGTAGTGGTGAAGGATGGTGATGGTCCCTTACCTCTCTCATGACGTGTCTCTCCCTGTCTGTGCTGAGAGTGTCTAACGCCACCTTGAGGCCCAAGCTGTACAGAGACATGGTGTCCTGACACAGCAGACACTGCTCTAGAGTCCTCTCCAACGACCAGGCAGACCTACAGCTGGGACACAAGGCAACACATCTATAGACAATACCACACACACACACACTCACAGAGAGACATGCCCACACACACAGTTTACTCACTTGGTGATCATCTTGGCTATCAGGGTGACATACAGGGCGTTACATGTGGATGCAGAGCGACAGTGTCTCTCCAGTTTCTTATCCTGTTGAACGCACAGACACACAGCCACCGTTTGACACACACAGATCTTCTCTTCATGGGGAAGTTCAGTATTTGACAAATTGATGTTAGATGGTTCCTCACCCGGAAAGTAGTCCATGGACCAGGACAAACTGTATTCCATGGTTTGATTCTCTTGAAACAGCCACTACAAACTTCAGCTAATTTTAACCACCGCTAGCTAAAAATCTATGGGAGTGATGGGGGCATGCGGTGCCTGTTTAAAATGTAATGGTCAAATCAACTCAATTATTTGGTTTGATGTACGTTACTTAAAGGTGATTTAGCCTCTTTTTTTTTTTACACTGAACTTCCTGTAATAACAATGTAATATCAGTTTGACACCCACCTGGTCTTTAGTGAGTTTAACATCGGCTGCCAGGCACTCTGTGTTGACGACACTCTTCACCTCTCTGGGATTCAGCGGGTCCAGGTGGAGGGTGGGCCACAGTCTGGGGAACAACAGTCATATCACACAATCACTATTAGACCACAATACATAGGCACTATATATCATAGCCCAAAATACATAGGCACTACATAGGCATTGGGCTTATATAGGCCACACAATACATATCTATTACATAATACTTAGGTGTACCCTACCTCCAGGCATTACATAGGCACTACAGTAGCAATGCATAGGCATTACATATGTTGACATAGTACTGATCTGGAGTCATTTTGTATGGACTAACTGCCAAGTTGTGTACTCTACCTCCAGGCCTGGGGACAGGTCTCCACGTTGACAGACACCACCACTCTGACGTTGACCGGCAGGGGGTCGATCAGCCACTTCATGTGCCTCTCTGCGTGCTGGTGGAAAATACAGTAGAACCTCAAAGATACAAACCTCAGAGTAACAAGCTGACCTGTTAACCGATAATATCAAACAGGGACATCTGGCTACCTGGGGACAGTCTATATGGACAACTGTGCCGTAAATGTTGCTTACATGTGCTAAAAACACATCCAATATTTACATTATCTGGGGTGGCAGGTAGCTTAGTGGTTAAGAGCGTTGTGCCAGTAACCGAAAGGTCGCTGGTTCTAATCCCCGAGCCGACTAGGTGAAAAATCTGTCGATGTGCCCTTGAGCAAGGCACTTAACCCTAATTGCTCCTGTAAGTCGCTCTGGATAAGAGCGTCTGCTAAATGACTAAAATGTAAATGATTCAAAATTATTAGAAAACCCATATAAATACGCGATCAATATTTTCTCTAAAGGTTTGAGATGTTTTTTAAGTGAATTTCAAAGTTACAGACATTTCAGTGTTCCGAACGACCTCCATTCCCGACATGTTCGTGTCTCTGAGGTCTTACTGTGGCAGTAGCCTAGTACCTGTATCTGGTCAATGGAGTCGATGATGATGATGATGTTGCCTTGGTGCCTGGCAGACAGTCTCTCTAGCCAGCGAGGGAACTCCTCTAGGATCTTGGAGGGATCCATGGATAACCCAGAGATGGACCAGAAATGCTGCAGCAGCTTGACAGTGAGGCGTTTAATAATGAGTACAGGCTCAGAGCTGGTAGAAAGAGGCCGCCCCACAAAATGGTACAGGAACAACGTGTTGGGGGAGTGCTTCTGCTGCAGCTCAATCCTGGAGGAAGAATTGAGTTGATTGATTATTAACACTTAAGGTCAAATAATGTAAAATCTAGTTTTAATGGATAATGGCTGAGCTCTTACCATTTGGACAGCAGGAGAGACTTCCCGGAGCCGGGTCCCCCTGATACCAGCAGTGGAGGGGTGGGAGGAGGGGCTGCCACCATGTCATTCAGACGATCTATGTACTGAGGACAGAGCATGACATCACACATCATGCACAAGCTCCTCTCACCCACACAAGCAACCGTTATTACTAAAGTTATTACTCGTCTATTACACTTTATTACTACTAGTCATCATTTGGAATATTTCACCTTAAAGGGATATTTTACTAAAAAACGTATATTTTAGTATTTTGTTCATTTGTCCACTGGTAATGCAATCCAAAGTTTCCAAAATAGAGCATGTTCAGTACAGACGAGAAACTGTGACGATGATTTGCAAAGTTTTTGAGTAAAATAACCCTTTAATCACAAAATCCTATAAATAAAATAATGCCTTCCTACTGAGCTAGAGAGAGAGGTAGAGACAGAGCGCGAAAGCCCCACCTTCTGGAAGCCCAGTTGAGCTGCGGCGCTGCAGGCTTGCTGATAGGCCTCGATCTGCTCCTGCTCATCATGCAGGTCCCACAGCACGTCCCCCAAATCCTCCTCGCGCCCCTCGTCTATCCCCGAATCCTTACTGTCCACGTCGCTGCCCTCCAAACCCAGCAGTTCCTGACAGAGAGGGACGGAGGGGTCGAAGGTATAGTGAGAGTTAAAAGGTATACTACACTCTTAGAAAAAAGGGTTTCAAAAGGGTTCTTCTGCTGTCCCCATAGGAGAACCCTTTTGGGTTCCATGTATAACTCTCTGTGGAACCAAAAAGGTTATACCTGGAACCAAAAAGGGTTCTTCAAAGGGTTCTCCTTTCAGGTTCTTGTTTTCTAAGAGTGTATCTAGTATAGTGCAGTACTTTTGACCAGGCCGTATAGGGTCTGTAGGCCTACCTGTTTGATGACTTTCTCCAGTTGAGTGTAGATCATAGACGCTCCTTCCTCTGGGGAGCCACCATGGTCCACTACCTATGGAAGTGACACAGTGGTATAATAGCCAGGCTATAGCACATTCATTCACCATGGAATCTTCAGTTCTGATATTGTCATAAAACACAATACGACAATAGAACAAATCAATATTTGCATATCACAAACACAACACCCAGTATGCCAGTTCCTTATTCTACCCCTATGTATATGTATGTACAGAACCAGTCAAAAGTTTGGACACACCTACTCATTCAAGGGTTTTTCTTTATTTTAACTATTTTCTACATTGTAGAATAATAGTGAAGACATCAAAACTATGAAATAACACATATGGAATCATGTAGTAACCAAAAAAGTGTTAAAACAAATCAAAATATATTTTATATTTGAGATTCTTCAAATTACCCACCCTTTGCCTTGATGACAGCTTTGCACACTATTGGCATTCTCTCAACCAGCTTCATGAGGTAGTCACCTGGAATGTATTTCAATTAACAGGTGTGCCTTAATTTGTGGAATTCCTTTCCTTCTTACTGCGTTTGAGCCAATCAGTTGTATTGTAACAAGGTAGGGGTGGTATACAGAAGATAGCCCTATTTGATAAAATATCAAATCCATATTATGGCAAGAACAGCTCAAATAAGCAAGAGAAATGACAGTCCATCATTACTTTAAGACATGAAGGTCAGTCAATCCAGAAAATTTGAAGAACTTTGAAAGTTTCTTCAAGTGCAGTCGAAAAAACCATAAAGTGCTATGATGAAACTGGCTCTCATGAGGACCGCCACAGGAAAGGAAGACCCAGAGTTACCTCTGCTGCAGAGGATAAGTTCATTAGAGTTAACTGCACCTCAGATTGCAGCCCAAATAAATGCTTCATAGAGTTCAAGTAACAGACACATCTCAACATCAACTGTTCAGAGGAGACTGCGTGAATCAGGCCTTCATTGTCGAATTGCTGCAAAGAAACCACTACTAAAGGACACCAATAAGAAGAAGAGACTTGTTTGGGCCAAGAAACACGAGCAATGGACATTAGACTGGTGGAAATCTGTCCTTTGGTCTGATGAGACCAAATTTGAGATCACGTGTAGGAGAGTGATGGAGTGCTGCATCAGATGACCTGGCCTCCACAATCACCCGACCTCAACCCAATTGAGATGGTTTGGGATGAGTGAAGGAAAAGCAGCCAACAAGTGCGTAGTATACAGGGGGGAAAAAAAGTATTTAGTCAGCCACCAATTGTGCAAGTTCTCCCACTTAAAAAGATGAGAGGCCTGTAATTTTCATCATAGGTACACGTCAACTATGACAGACAAATTGAGATTTTTCCCCCCAGAAAATCCCATTGTAGGATTTTTTATGAATTTCTTTGCAAATTATGGTGGAAAATAAGTATTTGGTCACCTACAAACAAGCAAGATTTCTGGCTCTCACAGACCTGTAACTTCTTCTTTAAGAGGCTCCTCTGTCCTCCACTCGTTACCTGTATTAATGGCACCTGTTTGAACTTGTTATCAGTATAAAAGACACCTGTCCACAAACTCAAACAGTCACACTCCAAACTCCACTATGGCCAAGACCAAAGAGCTGTCAAAGGACACCAGAAACAAAATTGTAGACCTGCACCAGGCTGGGAAGACTGAATCTGCAATAGGTAAGCAGCTTGGTTTGAAGAAATCAACTGTGGGAGCAATTATTAGGAAATGGAAGACATACAAGACCACTGATAATCTCCCTCGATCTGGGGCTCCACGCAAGATCTCACCCCGTGGGGTCAAAATGATCACAAGAACGGTGAGCAAAAATCCCAGAACCACACGGGGGGACCTAGTGAATGACCTGCAGAGAGCTGGGAGCAAAGTAACAAAGCCTACCATCAGTAACACACTACGCCGCCAGGGACTCAAATCCTGCAGTGCCAGACGTGTCCCCCTGCTTAAGCCAGTACATGTCCAGGCCCGTCTGAAGTTTGCTAGAGTGCATTTGGATGATCCAGAAGAGGATTGGGAGAATGTCATATGGTCAGATGAAACCAAAATAGAACTTTTTGGTAAAAACTCAACTCGTCGTGTTTGGAGGACAAAGAATGCTGAGTTGCATCCAAAGAACACCATACCTACTGTGAAGCATGGGGGTGGAAACATCATGCTTTGGGGCTGTTTTTCTGCAAAGGGACCAGGACGACTGATCCGTGTAAAGGAAAGAATGAATGGGGCCATGTATCGTGAGATTTTGAGTGAAAACCTCCTTCCATCAGCAAGGGCATTGAAGATGAAACGTGGCTGGGTCTTTCAGCATGACAATGATCCCAAACACACCGCCCGGGCAACGAAGGAGTGGCTTCGTAAGAAGCATTTCATTTACATTTACATTTACGTCATTTAGCAGACGCTCTTATCCAGAGCGACTTACAAATAGGTGCATTCACCCAATAGCCAGTGGTCCTGGAGTGGCCTAGCCAGTCTCCAGATCTCAACCCCATAGAACATCTTTGGAGGGAGTTGAAAGTCCGTGTTGCCCAGCCACAGCCCCAAAACAGCACTGCTCTAGAGGAGATCTGCATGGAGGAATGGGCCAAAATACCAGCAACAGTGTGTGAAAACCTTGTGAAGACGTACAGAAAACGTTTGACCTGTGTCATTGCCAACAAAGGGTATATAACAAAGTATTGAGAAACTTTTGTTATTGACCAAATACTTATTTTCCACCATAATTTGCAAATAAATTCATAAAAAATCCTACAATGTGATTTTCTGGATTTTTTTCTCTCATTTTGTCTGTCATAGTTGACGTGTACCTATGATGAAAATTACAGGCCTCTCTCATCTTTTTAAGTGGGAGAACCTGCACAATTGGTGGCTGACTAAATACTTTTTTCCCCCACTGTATGTGGTAACTCCTTCAAGACTGTTGGAAACGCATTCCTCATGAAGCTGGTTGAGAGAATGCCAAGAGTGTGCAAAACTGTCATCAAGGCAAAGGGTCGCTACTTTGAAGAATCTAAAATCTAAAATATACATATGATTCCATATGTGTTATTTCATAGTTTTGATGTCTTCAGTATTATTCTACAATGTAGAAAATAGTAAAAAATTAAGAAAAACCCTTGAATGAGTAGGTGTGTCCAAACTTTTGACTGGTACTGTATACATAAGTGGAATTAATATCATATATTTAACATATGATATATAACATATGAATATCTGGAACTGGCATACTCAACTCAGGATTTTCAGGTGTTGGGGCGGCAAGTAGCCTAGCGTTTAAGAGTGTTTGGCCAGTAACGGAAAGGGCTCTGGTTCGAATCCCTGAGCTGACTAGGTGAAAAATCTGTCGATGACCCCTTGAGCAAGGCACAACCATAATTGCTCATGTAAGTCGCTCTGGATAAGAGCGTCTGCTAAATGACTAAAATGTAAATGTTGTGTTTGTGAAATGCAAAGATAGATTTTTTTCATTATTGACATAGGCCAGTGAAGAGGAGAGTAAAGGTAGGAGGAATTGCAAGTCAGAAGAGCAATGGGTTGGATTCTAACTCATGTCGACTCTGGTATACATTTGTGCCGGGGTCTGCGGCACGAACCGCTGGACCACACAGACCACATCTGTATGCCATTGGCTACCTTGACTTTGGCTGCCTTGTCTGCAGCGTTGACCCTCTCCAGCAGTTGTCTGGTGGGGCCGCTGAGAGGGTGGGCCTCCACAGTCCTGAGGTAGAGTACCAGTGGACGGCCGTCTGGGTTCTTCACAAAGGCCTCCTCCGCATCCTCCAACACACAACTACACACACACACACAAAGGCACACTGAGTAACACACTGTAACCTGTTATAACATATTACAACATGTTATAACCTATAACAGCAGCATTTCACTTCCTTTTAATCTGGTAGTGCAGAGGAGAGGGAGCCACAGAGAGACTCAGAGGTTGCTCTGGATGCGTCCCAAATGGCACCCTATTCCCTATATAGTTCACTAGCAACAAAACCGACGTGCGCAACTATGGGTCAAAACAGACAGGGTTGGCTTAGATTGTCGACAGCATGTAAACTATATTTCTTCTCTAATATTTATTTAAATGAGCACTTGTCTCTCAAATACATCATTACAGTTGTTGGTTAGCTAGCTAGCGAATTGTAGCCATATTAGCATAGATGTGGCATCAGTCAAAACAACTAAAAACAAGACATGTTATCAAGAACAAGATAAAATGACCTGAAACGAGCCACCTTCGATTCCCCCCATGGCAGCTTCTTGTCATTGTTGCTAGCTATCTGGCCAACCAGAATCACAACAACACACTGCCTTCTGCCCCATTGAAGAGTGCACATTGTTTTCGTGACGTTGTCAACTAACCCGTCTATAGGGCTCTGGTCAACAGTAGTGCACTATATAGGGAATAAGGTGCCATTTGGGATGCATCCACTGTCTGTGTTCATGATTTAAGGTGAATGCGAGTGAGAGACAGTGGGGGAGGGGGGAAACACTGACCTAGTGATGGAGGATTTAAGGAGGAGCACACACACAGAGCTCCTCTCCATCTCCTGTCTGCGTTCCAGTGCATAGGAGGCTGCACTCTCCTCAGGGAAACAGATGTTCAGGTAGAAATGGCCCAGCCCCTCACACAGACTCTGCAGCCTAGGAGAGTACCTCTGGGAAGGAAAGAAGGAGACAGAAATTAGATAGGAAGAGAGAGAGAGAGAGAGAGATAGAGAGAGAGGTGAAGAGAGATGCGTTGTATAGCCAGATGAACAGTACTCCAGGGTGAATGCATTGTAGGGAAGTAAATTAAGCTAGCGCAGTAGCCGCTAGTACTTATCAAACCGGGCTAGTAGAAAATGTGAGAATGTGTATTTTCAGATATTCCATGATGACATAGATTTTGGACCCTTGGCTAGTAGGATTCCAAGCAGGTCTACTAGTCCAGCTGGCCAGTGTCCAAAATCCTTAAAGGGATAGTTCACCTAAATACATTTGAGTGAACTATCCCTTTAAATTCAATCCCTGGTGTACCAGTACCTGGGTGAAGATGTCCAGCTCAGCCTGTGTCTCCTGGGTAGAGATCAGGTAGCAGCGCACCGTGTTGCTCCATAACGCCTGGGACACGTGAGGAGACACCTGCAGCAGACTGGCCACAGCAGCGTCCCAGTCATCTGAAAGATACACACACATTATACACGTGTTTATATACACACAAACACACGCAAACACACACAGACGGACACACATACAAAAGTATTTAGTCAGCCACCAATTGTGCAAGTTCTCCCACTTAAAAAGATGAGAGAGGCCTGTAATTTTCATCATAGGTACACGTCAACTATGACAGACAAAATGAGAAGAAAAAAAACCTGAAAATCACATTGTAGGATTTTTAATTAATTTATTTGCAAATTATGGTGGAAAATAAGTATTTGGTCAATAACAAAAGTTTCTCAATACTTTGTTATATACCCTTTGTTGGCAATGACACAGGTCAAACGTTTTCTGTAAGTCTTCACAAGGTTTTCACAAAAAAAAAATATCCATTTGTCTGTCATAGTTGACGTGTACCTATGATGAAAATTACAGGCCTCTCTCATCTTTTTAAGTGGGAGAACTTGCACAATTGGTGGCTGACTAAATACTTTTTTTCCCCACTGTACATAATCGCACACAGACAGACGGACGAACACACACACACCCTCTACCAATTACTTTTCAACAAGTTTGCAGCAATTAACCCACAAGGGCCATTGGGTTTAGGGCCCTGAGGGCTAGAGCCTACCTATACTGTACCTACCATATGTGAGGTGATAGTCTATTAGAAACACCTACAGTACCAGGCAGTTAAGTGGAGAACATTCTTCTGCCTGGTGCTGGTCTGATACTACTTGTATACTATTAACCTAGTGCTGTGGTGGCCGAATGGTTCAACTTTCTAGGGGTAAGACCATGGCTAATTCTGGTTTTGTAAATGATTGCATCCATCCTCTGCCAAGTGAAGGTAACCCAACCACCACAAAAATAAGGGATAGAGGACCCACTCCCACAGTCAAGGAGAGATACAGCACATTTAACTTCCTCACAACCACCATCAGTGTGTATGTGGATGTGTTTTCCGGTGGTTCTATGTGATCATTATTGTATATTATAAACTGGGTGGTTTGAGCGCTGAATGCTGATTGGCTGACAGCAATGGTATATCAGACCGTATACCACGGGTATGACAAAACATGTATTTTTACTGCTCTAATTACATTGGTAACCAGTTTATAATAGCAATAAGGCAACTTGGGGTTTGTGATATATGGCCAATATACCACGGCTAAGGGCTGTATCCAGGTACTCCACGTTGAGTCGGACGTTATTGCTTAAGTATGACGTACAGTGGGGAAAAAAAGTATTTAGTCAGCCACCAATTGTGCAAGTTCTCCCACTTAAAAAGATGAGAGAGGCCTGTAATTTTCATCATAGGTACACGTCAACTATGACAGACAAAATGAAAAGAAAAAAAACCTGAAAATCACATTGTAGGATTTTTAATGAATTTATTTGCACATTATGGTGGAAAATAAGTATTTGGTCAATAACAAAAGTTTCTCAATACTTTGTTATATACCCTTTGTTGGCAATGACACAGGTCAAACACTGTTGCTGGTATTTTGGCCCATTCCTCCATGCAGATCTCCTCTAGAGCAGTGCTGTTTTGGGGCTGTGGCTGGGCAACACGGACTTTCAACTCCCTCCAAAGATTTTCTATGGGGTTGAGATCTGGAGACTGGCTAGGCCACTCCAGGACCTTGAAATGCTTCTTACGAAGCCACTCCTTCGTTGCCCGGGCGGTGTGTTTGGGATCATTGTCATGCTGAAAGACCCAGCCACGTTTCATCTTCAATGCCCTTGCTGATGGAAGGAGGTTTTCACTCAAAATCTCACGATACATGGCCCCATTCATTCTTTCCTTTACACGGATCAGTCGTCCTGGTCCCTTTGCAGAAAAACAGCCCCAAAGCATGATGTTTCCACCCCCATGCTTCACAGTAGGTATGGTGTTCTTTGGATGCAACTCAGCAATCTTTGTCCTCCAAACCCGACGAGTTGAGTTTTTACCAAAAAGTTATATTTTGGTTTCATCTGACCATATGACATTCTCCCAATCCTCTTCTGGATCATCCAAATGCACTCTAGCAAACTTACATTTTACATTTACATTTTACGTCATTTAGCAGACGCTCTTATCCAGAGCGACTTACAGTTAGCGCATACATTGTATTTTTATCGAACCCACAACCCTGGCGTTGCAAACGCCATGCTCTACCAACTGAGCTACATCCCCTGCCGGCCATTCCCTCCCCTACCCTGGACGACGCTTGGCCAATTGTGCGCCGCCCCATGGGTCTCCCGGTCGCGGCCGGCTACGACAGAGCCTGGATTCGAACCAGGATCTCTAGTGGCACAGCTAGCACTGCGATGCAGTGCCTTAGACCACTGCGCCACTCGGGAGACCCATGGGGCGGCGCACAATTGGCCAAGCGTCGTCCAGACGGGCCTGGACATGTACTGGCTTAAGCAGGGGGACATGTCTGGCACTGCAGGATTTGAGTCCCTGGCGGCGTAGTGTGTTACTGATGGTAGGCTTTGTTACTTTGCTCCCAGCTCTCTGCAGGTCATTCACTAGGTCCCCCCGTGTGGTTCTGGGATTTTTGCTCACCGTTCTTGTGATCATTTTGACCCCACGGGGTGAGATCTTGCGTGGAGCCCCAGATCGAGGGAGATTATCAGTATGTCTTCCATTTCCTAATAATTGCTCCCACAGTTGATTTCTTCAAACCAAGCTGCTTACCTATTGCAGATTCAGTCTTCCCAGCCAGGTGAAGGTCTACAATTTTGTTTCTGGTGTCCTTTGACAGCTCTTTGGTCTTGGCCATAGTGGAGTTTAGAGTGTGACTGTTTGAGGTTGTGGACAGGTGTCATTTATACTGATAACAAGTTCAAACAGGTGCCATTAATACAGGTAACGAGTGGAGGACAGAGGAGCCTCTTAAAGAAGAAGTTACAGGTCTGTGAGAGCCAGAAATCTTGCTTGTTTGTAGGTGACCAAATACTTATTTTCCACCATAATTTGCAAATAAATTCATTAAAAATCCTACAATGTGATTTTCTGGAGAAAAAAAGTATCCATTTGTCTGTCATAGTTGACGTGTACCTATGATGAAAATTACAGGCCTCTCTCATCTTTTTAAGTGGGAGAACTTGCACAATTGGTGGCTGACTAAATACTTTTTTTCCCCACTGTACATAATCGCACACAGACAGACGGACGAACGCACACACACCCTCTACCAATTACTTTTCAACAAGTTTGCAGCAATTAACCCACAAGGGCCATTGGGTGGGTTAGCGCTCTCTGCCCTAGTGTTCAAGTGCATGAACACATAGTCACTAAGATTCTGTACCAGTTGTGTGTGGAGTGGCCTAAACAATAGCTTTCATCCTCTCAGGAACACGTTTATATAGACATTTACATTTTTACATTTTAGTCATTTAGCAGACGCTCTTATCCAGAGCGACTTACAGGAGCAATTAGGGTTAAGTGCCTTGCTCAAGGGCACATTAACGTCATTTAGCAGACGCTCTTAGCCAGAGCGACTCACAAATTGGTGCGTTCACCCTATAGCCAGTGGGATAACCACTTTACAAACCATAGACAAAACACATACAGTATATAACCAACTGAGATGCCAAGGCTCAAATACATACAAATGTGTAAACATCCAACCCTTGCTTACCTCTGCTGACATTGGCAAACGGGCCCTCCACATCGCACAAGCTGTGGGCAAACTCTGGTCCTCTGAAGGTCTGCTGCAGTTGCATCATGCTGCCCATAGAGGGCTCACTGCCCAGCACTCCACCACCCCAGTAATCACAGGGAGTCCCTGCAGCTTGAGACAGGCAAATTACAGACAACTGTGTCAGCTTTTTGAGTAACTGACATCCGAGGAATTGAGATGATTGTGAAGCGTTACTTGGTTGACACTTCGACAAGTTTTAAGTAAACTGTTCGCAATTATGGTAAATTATGGATTTTTTAAATACTTGAATTGCACTATTCGTTTCCCCATTTGACTACATTGAAATACTGGATGCTGGAATTGCCATATTAATTCCAATGGGGCTCTGCATGTGTGAGATGGAGGGTGGCCTAAAGATAAGATGCACCATAACGAACGTCGGCTGTGCTCAGTAGATCAACCTGCGACAAACGGTGGTGATTCAACATGTAGAATAGACGGGAAATGGAAAAATCACACCCGCTGCTTTTAACCGTTTATAATAATAATAATAATAATAATAATATGCCATTTAGCAGACGCTTTTATCCAAAGCGACTTACAGTCATGCGTGCATACATTTTTTGTGTATGGGTGGTCCCGGGGATCGAACCCACTACCTTGGCGTTACAAGCGCCGTGCTCTACCAGTTGAGCTACAGCACAATCTGTTTTGTCCTTTACCTGTGACGGTGGTGTGGTTGTCATCGTCATCCGAGTCATCTGGGTCGTACACCATGATGCCCTGAGCCTGCAACTGCAGTAGCTTGGCCTCCAAGTCCCTCTTGGCTCGCAGCAGATCCTGGATCTCCTTCTCTTTGGTCTCCCGGAAGATCTGACATTTAGAGAAGATTATTTGAGTTGTTTTAAATATATATTTTAAGGTATTTAACAATTTTCTTGAACAGATAGAGAGAGCATGATAGCGGGGAAAGATAGAGAGAGGTTGAGTCAAAGAGCAGTAGGCCGGATTTGAATCTATGCCGACACCGTAGGCATGTATGCTGGAGGCTGCGGCATTACTGCTAGACTAGCCAGGCCACAGAGGAGAATGTTAAGGTTTCATAATGATGAGCTGTAGGTTAAGTAGCTGACTTGAGATCAGAAGGTTGCCGGTTCAAATCCCAGATGGAACATCATACTAGGGTATTGTTACACCCTACTCTCTATTATGTGCTCTATTGTGTGTTTGCCTGGGAGTAACAGCTAGCTATTGGGGATACCTTAAACTGCCGTTTGACTTTGTCCCTGTCGTGCTCAAAGGTGGCGGCTCTCTCCATGGCTTGGTACTTAGCCTCCAGGGCACTCTCCTTCTCTCTCAGGATCTTCTGGTAGGTCTTCTGCAGAGCCTGGAAGAAACATGACGATCATCACTGTTAGTGACAAGTAGTACAATAAGATTACATGGACAAGGAAGACCTGATCCTAGATCAGCACTCCTATTATGAGACTCTTGACATAGGAAATCAAAAGACAGGCTATTGCCTACCTGCCTGGCCCCATTCATTGTAAAAGTCCTGGGCCTGTATTCACAAAGAATCTCAGAACAGGGGGATCTGAGACTGATCTAGGATCAGTTGTGCCTTTTAGATCAGAATGAACAAGATGAGGCTATATGGACAGAGGGTACATTTACATCACATTTTAGTCATTTAGCAGACGGTATTATCCAGAGCGACTTACAGTAGAGTGCATACATTTTCATACTTTTTCGTACTAAATGTCAACCCTTTTTAAACAGTGGCCCTGCTCTCACCTGCAGCTCAGCTCTCAGCCTCTTGTTCTCCTCGTCCAGCTTGGCCTCCTTCTTCTGCATGGAGGTGATCTCGTTGTTCTTGCTGACCCGGAAGATCTCATACTCCTTGCGGAGCCGCTCGTATTCGGCGGTGTACTCCAGGTCCACAGAGCCCGTGGATTTGAAGCTGGCTCCAATCACCCTGGGCCCTCGGCGAAAGGAGCTCCGCAGGAGGCGGGCTTTAGGTTTGACCTCCACCGGTATCTCACATGCCTCCCCACCCTCACCCCCGTACGCATCCTCTATCACCTCCCCAGGGCTCACCAGGGAGGAGGCTGTACCCATGGTGGTGGTGGCTCTGGCAGGGGCACTCCACAGTGGCCTTAGTTACTGAACTAAACCCTCCAGATGGTCATTGCTGCTCCTAGGGATGAAGCCAGTGATTGGCATGTCATTTGATGCAACATGATAATTAGGATGCAACATGCAAGAAGAGTGTGGACCGGAAAAGTATGTCTTAGCAAACTAGCTAGCAACCCAATTAATAAAGGGATAATGAACGCATATGGTGGGGGATAAATTATAGTAACCGATAACGCACGTGACCAAATTTAGCATTATTTTCAACAACAACAAAAATAGAAACCGCTTGCCAGTGAATGTGACAACATTTGGGTTTGCATTGATTTTAACTTTGGTCCAGGGCGCAACAACATTTCGCGCCGCAAGCTCGCTTCTGGTCACGACCTATTTTCAGCATGCGACATTTGAGTCCAAATGTTATAGCTAACATATGTATAACGTAGCTTTAACATAACATTAACGTTAGTTACATCAGTGATAGACAATGCGTTTTAATGATGCTAACTAACATTAGATATTTCGTTAGCTAGCTAACGGTACCTAGCTGTTATGGCAAGAACGGGAGGTACGAAGATGGAGCCAGATGTGACTGACTTGCACAAACATGATGGACTGTCTATGGCACGTAGCTAGCTAGATAGCAATAATATTTAGCTATATTTCGAATAGTTGGCTAGCATATTGAATGATTCCGATTACTTTTTTCGAAAGGAATACAAGAAATACTCACACATAGCTATCCCCGTAGCTTCTTCCTGGCTGCCCTGGTAACAAGACTCCCTACGGGTCCTCACCAAAGTCAAAGTAGTTTGCGAATCACCCCAAAAAATCTCGAGGGGTGTATCCCAAACACAAAAATACCTCAGGCTCCTGCTCAGGCTCAATGGATTAAACTAAAGCTGAGACGTGCTCACTGGATGGAGACATTAAGGAGTTATTTATTAATTTAGCCCAAAATAGTTTAATAATAGACATGCAGTATTCCTACACTATGCAATAATTGTATGCATACAATAACAGCAATTGTAAAACAACCTAGAAATAAGCTTCATTTTCATACAGGGCCAAAGGCGTACCAACCATTATTTTTAATAAATATTTGCATGTAGCCTTTATTGCACAACACCACGATGAGATCATACTGTAGGATTCAACACTGTACATTGCCATTGTAATATTAAATAGTCATTGAATCACTGCAAGCATACACTTGTACTGGTCTCAGAACAGGAGGAGTGCTGATCTAGGATCAGTTTAGCCTTTTTTTTTCATAACATAAGATTATGTACAGGCGGGACCTGATCCTAGATCAGGTTGTGGTTGGCTGGTCCTCTCTCCTGTCTCTACAGAACAGCTGCAGCAGTATACGTTGATAAGTCCTTGCCAGAAAAAAGTACATAATAGGATCCAATGCTCCACTCAAACAGGTTAGTGCAGAAGTGACTCGGTTGGCTAGTGCCAGAGCCTCAATGGACGCAGTTTCCATGTGGCTATGAGTGTGTCTCTCAATGTAGATTAAACGGTTCAAGTGATAGGGCACAAAAGCAACCAGGAAGTTCACCATGATGAGAATGATCATCCTGATAGCCTTGTCTCTGACCGGTCTTTCCTCCTGTTGCTTGACGCCCCTCAGTTTCAATAGGATTAATATATAGGAGACCACTATGGTGACCAGAGGAATAATAAACGCCACTATGGTTGACACCAATGCTTTGGTAGAAGTCTTTTCCAAGTACAGCTGGTTACACATGACCATGGTTGTGTTGTCAACCTGAATCATCGTTTGATTTTTGGAGAATAGCAAGGGAGCCATAGACACAGTCACTGTGACCCACAGGATTACCACGACCACTCTGGCGTATGAAGCCTTCCTCATTGACCGTGACTTGATTGGTAGGACCAGGGCCAAGAGGCGGTCCAGGCTGATGCAGGTCATGAAGTAGAGACTGCAGTACATGTTGAGGTAGAAGAGAAACCCCACCAGGCGACAGGCGACCTCTCCAAGTGGCCAGTGGCTGTCTGAGAAGTGGTAGACCATCCGCATGGGCAAGATCAGCACGTAGGAGACATCTGCTATGGCCAGGTGCTTTAGGAAGAGCTTGGAGGGTGAGGTGTCAGCCTGACGACAGAACACCCACAATGCCAAAGCGTTGCCAGGCACGGCGACCACAAAGACCAGGATGTAAAAGCTAGCAAACAGGATGTTCTCGTGGTTTCTCGCTTCCACAGTGTAGTTCATCATTATTCTGTGGACTCTTAGCCTATAGGACATAGCAAAGACACAAAGAGAAGAGAAGACACGTTAGTCTACATGATAACAGAGCAGGGTCTGAGATTGAGAGAGGGATTCCTGCAGTTGTACACCAAAAAAAATGGGGTTCCTCAAGGATTCTTTGGGAAGGGTGATGGTTCTACGTGGAACCATACTGACCAAAAGAACACTGTGAGCCCTTCAATGGTTCTTTGCAGTTCAAAAAAGTGTTATTTCCTGTTTTAGTGAAAATGTAAATGCAGGGGCAGCAGCTCATTCTAATATTTTGGGGGGTGATTTGAGCATGTTTCTTTTTGTGCAACCGTGAGTGAGAGTGTAATTCCATCTAATCTGTTGTTTTACGCTATTACATGTTATACTGTATATGACTATGGCCAGTGATTGTGTCTTGTGAAAGACTCACATATGGCCTTGTGTCAATTGAGAACAGATGACTAAGTCAGTAGGACTCAATTCTCTCCTCAGGGACCAGAGCTAGCACACCCGATTCTTAATTAACACAATAATAAACCTATGGAATTGTAACAATATGACTATTAAACCAGAATAAAAAACCCTGTATGGTTCTACAAAGAACATTAGAGATTGAGAAATGTTCTTTACAGAACTATTCTCCATAAAGGTTCTATAAAGAAATATAAAAAATGATTATATATAGCCCCAAAAAGGGTTGTAACCATAGTGGAACCCTTTTTTGGTGATATATGGAACCTTTTTTAATGGTTCTATATAGAACTGTATGAGCATGTTTTTTATATATATAGAAAGCAGAACAGGGGGGTTATCTGTAGAGAGGAACTGATCCAAATGGTGGCTATTTGAGCTATACGAGACATGTACAATGGGAATGACAGAGATAACGTGCACTGTATGTTAAGTGTGTAATAACCAGTTTCTAATTTTGTATACAGCAGTACTGTGTGTCTAAGACAAATTCTCTTTGAGGACATTAAAGTTAATCCTATCCTACCCTATCCTATTATGAGTGCTAGCCGATAAATAAAAGTGAACACTCATTTCTCCAGGTGTATACAATTGACAAAAAGCATTGTAGGGCAGAGTGGGGTAAGTTGAGCCACCCTTATTTCTAGGAAACCATACACAAAATGAATCATTTGACCAAATATTTAGGAAGAGGTCATCATTTCATGGAGTCTGTGAAAGAAGAAACCACATGGAAAATGTGGTAAGCAAGTTAGGTATAAAAAATAAAAAATTCACCAAGTCAAATTAATTTAATGTGTTAGAGGTTTCATGATGCTTGTATCTAAACCAAAGTAGATACATTTAAGATTGTTCTATACATCAGTTGGGGTCTCTATAAGCTTCAATATGAAGTCCTAAACTTAGCATGAAAGTGCATCATTGTAGCTGTGTGGGCTAACATAGTCAAAATGGTTGCCTTGGGGTAAATTGAGCCAATGGCCATGGGGTCTGTTGAGCCAATGGCAAGTTGAGCAAATTGAAGTTTATTCCCAGGTGTAATGCAAGGCATTATCACTGGGATAAAAGGTTAAAAAAAAGGGCCTGTGTTTAAAAAAGTACAAAGTGTTTGTTAGGCGTTAATCCTGTGTTAAAAGATGGCTAAAATTATCAGAAATAAAGATAGAAATTGTTTTAAACAGCTAGTGGTAAAATGTAATTCAGTACAGAAATTTGTAGGTGGCTTAACTTACCCGGGTAAGTTGTGCCAGGAGACCACTTTTTTGGGACAAGCTATGTTTTCAAAGCTGTAATATTAACATGACTATTCTGACTATTTCCAGGGATACACAACATCCTGAAATATATGTAGATATCTTTGTTAGAAAGAATACTGTATTGTATTTCACCTCTAGTAAAAATGTTTATTAAAAATGATTTAATTCTACTGCTGTTTTGAGAAACATTGACAAATGTATTTATATATGTACTGGGTTATCTAACACGTTTCCCAGTTAATTTAAATCAACTTAAAGGGTCAGTCTACAGTTCAAACAATAACAAAGCACACTCCAGCATTGTTTTGGCAAATAGTGGGATGTGGCTTGAGAAATTATTCATTGACACGGACGGACCATCCGTGAGATCAAAATTACAGTTTTAAAGGGCGACTGCACTTCCTGAGTTGGCCTTGTTTTAGATTTGGTTCATTAAGAAATGCTAGCTGCCTTGACTTAATTTTCTATCTCTGGGGATTGTTAGGGACCGCCAATAAATTACACAATGTAAATGGCAAAATATTTTCATCTTGCACATCTTTTAGTTGTCTCATTAAATGCTTTCAATATTTGTATATCAATTTCTACTATTTATAGTTGGTTTAAGGTTTTTAAGTCATTGAAATTTGGAGCTATTGACCTTTTAAAATGTTGTCCCATGTACATTGTGTAATTTACTGATGGTCCCTAACTAGCCCCATAGGGATATCAAATGTCAAACCAAATTGACCATGGGCATTATGATCAGGTCATGTGCAGCTGCGCTCCGAATTGATGGTTACTTGGGTGCTGCCAGCTGTGGGCAGGATTAACATAAACCCAACCCACGGAAAACTGTTATGGTCCGCAACCCTTAATTCTGTGACATACAATTTATTCCTATTATCTCGCATATCTCAGTTTTGGACAAGACTGATTTTATGTCCAAAATTATCCTATTTACACTTTGTAGTCAATTTTGACTCATATCGATGCCACATAGTCCATTTTCAAAACAATAAGTTGCTTTTTAGGGACAGTTGCTCTTTAACCACATTTTAATGTTTGTTTGCAATTACATTGTTTACAAAACAATTTAGTATTTTGGGTTCTGATGGGGTAAGACAGTTGAACTAAGCTCATGAAGCATTTATATGTTATATTATTCAAGAATCAATGGGTACATATTATAATACCCAAGTTATATCATCAAGTCCAAACTGGGATTCATCAACTGCAGGTTGCCCCATTAAACTTGAACTTTAAATCAACTTAACTTCAACTTTCATTTGAAATAGGACATAATCATACATGAATCACATCATATTTAAATAGTACATAATCAACTTAAATAGTACATAGCCACTTCTAATAATATACTTACCAGTAGGCCCTTTGCCTTCAAGGAGTAATGTTCAATATCTCTTAGCAATTAATTACTGACACATTGCAGTGGTGGTGGTTGCAGACTGAGGTAAGAGTAGTTCTGTTGTTCCTCCTCTTAAAGATGTATTCACAAAGGTTAACTTGCCTCTCCTCCTACACAGTTTTCACACCCTCAAAGCATTAGTCACACTCCAGGACAACTACATGCAAACATTGCATTGCACCCACCTGGTTTTGTGCCACTTCATCGACTGCAGTCAAGCATCCGATTGCTATATCATTTGATGTGGTTAACTGATATGATAAACACCTATCCAGGCGTTGTGAGATCTGGCGTGCATCTGCAACGTAGTCAGCCTGGAACGCTGCCATTATGTGGCCTGACCACACTCACTGACATCTCCTGTAATTATCCATTGTTAAATTCTGCTTGGTACATGTTTGGAACTGTGTACAGACTTGAGAGCAAAACAGGAGAGCATCTAAAAGTGAGTAGAGACATCCTGAAATGCATTACAAGCATGCAGACCTTTATTGTTTTTATTACAACACAATTATTTCTTTCTTTACCACATTGCTTTTTATGTAGTATGGTTTAAAGCTTTACAAAAATGAGAGAAAACAAAATATTTACAAAATATATCTGTGCAAACATAATTCTTCTTTCACTCTCCTAAAGTATCTTAAAGGCATGCATACAAATAAACGTAGGTATGTTAACAAAACTACTTAAGTTCTTATTAGAAGCATTTATGTACACATGGTAGAACAGTTCGTCAATTACTTTTGTTTTTAGTACTGTATACATTTAGACATCGATAAACGTGAACTTAAGAGACCTCCAGTAAAGCTATCAAAGGTAAAGACCAGCCATCACACCTTGAGTGTGTCATAGAGTTCCCACTTGGTATGTCATGATTACAGTAATACAGTCAGGAAATGTCATAACAACAACTTTGGCAAATAGGCACAATAACTACAGAAAGAGAACTGTTATATCTCATAAACTTCTTAAAATCAGTTTTCTATCTCCTAAAAAGAAATTGGCAGTGCATGGATAATTATATGACCAAATATTCTTAACAAAATAGAAGTCAATGCAGTTCCACTTTAAACGTCTGTATACATACAGTATGCATTCATAAATGGCATTTACTAGGGCTATGCTCAATGTTAGGCAACATAAGAAATAATGTAAGATCAAAATATACTATGGTTACCCAGTCTCTGGTTTTCAAAAATAAAACACACACAATATTTCACATGGTCATAGTGATTGTACATCAACTTTATATTTTTTCCATTCTTAGATACTGTAAGAAAAATATATTTTCAATACCGTTGTTTATAGTAGCGAACTGAGAAAGCGAGAGCTTCCACATAACCTACGAAGCAGTAAAACTATATCACTTTTGTTTCTCTCTTTAAAACTATTTACTCAGTACTCTAATACGCCTTTTTAAAATCAGGATTCAAGTTCAGCCAAGGGAAAATGCAACTTAAAACGAAGTCAAAGCATCGGTGTGAGAATGCCAGTGTCAAATCAAATTGAAATATGAATGGTGGGGGGAAGTGCATCAATTACGCTTTTTACAACAACAAAATACAAACCAATAAACAACAACAAAAACATGAATAACGAGAGAGAGAGAGAGAGAGAAAGAGAGAGAGAGAGAGAGAGAGAGAGAGAGAGGAGAGAGAGAGAGAGAGAGAGAGAGAGAGAGAGAGAGAGAGAGAGAGAGAGAGAGAGAGAGAGAGAGAGAGAGAGAGAGAGAGAGAGAGAGGGAGAGAGAGAGAGAGAGAGAGAGAGAGAAGTAACCAAAACGGGGCTACTGTACGGGAGCTAAGTGGAGTCCTTGGCTGCTGTGGCGGTTGGGATGCAGGATTTGCCACTGCTGCCGTTCTGGGGCCTGTAGCTGGTGAAGCTGGGGGTGTGTATGGTGCGGATGCTCTTCATACCCAGGCCCAACGGGGTGGGCGACAGAGGGGAGGGGGAGGACGAGGAGGAGAAGGAAGAGGAGGGTGCTCGACCGTTTTGAGTCTGCGAGGAGAACGAGAGAGCTTTACCTGTGTGAGAGGGTGTGGGGAGTTTGAGGGAGGAACCGTTAGAGAGGGAGGGGATGTGGGAGGAGGTGGAGAGGGCCGAGCCAGGGTGGCGGGGGGCGTGAGGGGACGGGATGGAGGACTTGGTGGTGTGGGGGGAGGAAGAGGAGCAGTTGGAGGAGGAGGAAAGGTTAATAAGGTTAGTAGCATCTGAGTTTGGAGCAGACTGGGAGGTACTGCCTTTACCAGAGCTAGGATAAAAAGCAGGGATTTTAGAGGCAGGTACAGTAGGGGAAGTAGTTTTATGATCCCCTCCCGCTCTTTTAGCACTTCCGTTAGCCTGCAAACAGAGATGCCAGAACAAAGACTGGTTGTCAAAAAGGGAACTGGTGATTAAGGTAACAAATATAAAAAAGGCAAGACAACATTGACTTCACTAAAGTTATAGACATGAAACAATCACACAAACAAACCTATTACTACTAAGATCATTAATAGACACACAAAAAGGCTCAAACTAGCTACAGTATCTATGTTTACTGGGTTACTTGAGGCAAAGTAACTGAGAAACACACTATGAATTAAAAAGGAGAAAGAAAAGATTGAAAGGATGGAAGGAGGGATAAAGCGAGGGGGTTGGAGATAGGGGCGGGGGCGGGGGCATCTCTAGGTGCTGCCTGTGTGTTAAGAGTGATTTTCAAGCTTTCTGAGAGGTGGAGACAAAAACTGAGAGGAGGGCAAAACCAGAGATGCATTTTGGGTAGAAAGGTTGGGTATGTTAGATAAGAGGAGAGATTTTTGAGGGTGGAAAACATACAAGTGCATATCGAGAGCAGTAGGGGTGAATATTGCATTGACTGCTACTGCAAGGAAGAGAGATGGGTGTTAGAGGAGCATCCAGAGAAGGGAGGAAGGTAGCTTGGTGGAACCCGCCTTATCGTTGCATTCACCATTCTGTTGAAGTGAAATATAATGGTGAACGCAGCGATCCGGCTGGTTCCACCAGTGTAGGCGGGGGGGATATTAAAGTGTTCTTTAGTAACTGTGCATTGTGAAAAGAAAGGAGCGTATCGGGTAGGCTGCTTGGGTTTAGTAGAGGTGCATTGAGGGTAGGAGGGAGCGTGGCCAATCAGAAGTATCAGTTTAGTAAAGCATCCTGGGGTTGGTTGACAACACTGTTTAGGAACTCAGCTGTGATGGAAACTGGGGATGTGATGGAGAACTCAGTCAATGACAAGATACATCTGGACTTTTAAAATATTATTTCTATTTTCTTTTCTCTTTTAAAATTGTTCATGTCACCAACACAGCAAAAGCCGCCATGAGCAGTGTGGACCATGCACAAGCATACAGTACAATGATGTTATGGGGGTAACAGTCAAGAGTCAAACATGCCTTTCAGTCAGAGTAGATTGAGAGAAAACATCAACAGAAGCCAAAATGGCCACCTCAATCCCATTTAAACGAAACACTTGAAATCTCACAGCTTTGGTTGTTTCAATATTTATTTCCCTTAGCACAGTCCTCTTGTTTTCTATGCCCTGTGTTCACTATACAAGTGTGTTCCCTCTAGTCCTTATGGTCTCTGGTAAAGCCCTATAGTAAAACTACCTGTCGGAACTGCCTCTGAGTGCTGTCCTGTAGCTTTTGCTGTTTTCCTGCTTTGTCAGTAGTAGTCCCTGGCGACTGCCTGGACTTCGCAGACAGGGGCACTGGCATCCGACTAGTAGGGGAAGCGACACTGGTTGCATTCTGCAAGAGGATCCAAACAAAACAAAACAAGAAAGAAAAGAAAAGAAAGAAAAAAACAGAACACCATATTGGAGGTATGAGAAACTGTTATTAACAAGGCACTGAGTGGACAAAAACCTGTTCATTCAAAATTACCCTCACCTCTAAAACCTTAATAACACCAGTAAGAGCACATGCACCCCCTGTACCGTAGTAGCCTATACCAAAACGTATAACCCTACAGTTCATGCAGTCCAAGAACAACAGCTTCAAGAAACCAAAAAGACAGTGTAATCAACATTGAGTGTCATTGTGTGATTAAGAGTCTGCCACTGGCTGAAGCCCCGGTTAGAGTTTGAGCAGCCAATCGAAGGAGAGACATGGGAGACAGGAGGAGGGACCCATTGAAAATGCCACTCCCCAATCATGTTGGACCATGATCACACAGAGGGGGAAAGCAACAGAGAGGGGCTCTGACATTTCCAAAACACCTGGGGAGTGAGTTAATGAGTGGTTGGTTGGTAAACCCAATGGTAAGGTAAACTCAGTGGTAAGGTAAACCCAGTGGTAAGGTAAACCCAGTGGTTAGGATGGAGTGAAGGGAGAGCGGGACGAGTAAAAAGAGGGCCCAAAGCCTCCCGAGGGACAAGAGCTTAGAAAGAGACCTGTTGGCTGGTGACGGGGGTGACGGTGGCGGTGGGGATGACGGCTGGCCGGGGGAGGAGCTGAGGTTTGGTCTTCTTCCTCTGAGAGGAGGTCTTGCTGGGCTTGGGGACCTTGAGGAGTGAACTCTTGGAAGGGAGTGATAAGGACCTCTTCAGGCCTCCATTCTCCCCACTCAAGACACACCCAGCTTGGGGCTCCACGCTGCCTGCACTCCTCACTGGTTTCTCCTGGTGGGGCCTTGCCGGGCCCATCTCACTGATGGTCGTCTCTAGCTGCTTGATGGTCTGCTCCAGGCTGTCCAGGGTCTTGTAGGTGCTCTTCCGGATCTTGTCCGTCCTGCCTTTGGAATCCGAGTGCTCCCTCCTTACAACGGCTGCAGCTGGGGCCTTGGGCGTCTTGTCTGCTGGGGCAGCAGATGGTTTGGAGCGGCTTTGGATCTCAAACCTCTTGGCCTCCTTGTGCTTTCGGACCGTGCCATCCGACTCCTCCTCGTCCTCGTACACCACCACCTGCAGTGTCTTCTTGCCCGTCTTGGTGCCCGTGCGGATGGCCTGCGACAGAGCGGCCAACTGCTTCTTGGGAAACCTGAGCTTGAACTTCTTCTTCCCATCCGGCTTGCCATCACCGGACAACTCGGCGAGCTCCGAAGACGAGGAGGAAGAGTGCGACAAGCTACTACTGGAAGAGCTAAGAGCACCGCTGGGGGCCTTGACCTTTACCTGCAGTCCACCGCTGCTCCTCTCCGTCTCCTCCGTCTCCTCGTCCTCCTCCTCGATGCGCTCCGCGGCCAGCATGCTCTCCAGCTCCTCCTCGCACTCGAACACCGTGGACAGGCGTTTGTAGGCCGAGCGGATGTCCATGGGCTCGTCGAAGATGATGATGACCGGCTTCTTGTTGTTGAAGCCATTGTCCTGCGACCCCGCCAAGCCGCCCCCGCCGCCCGGTGTGGTATTGGTCATCTCCCGTTTCCCAGGTCCCCCGCCCACAGTCACGGTCTGGATGCCCTGTTTTGCGTTGACCAGCTCCTGGTACTCCCCACAGGACAGGGCCTGGACCTTGCTGTTGGTGATCATGAAGGCGATGTTGTCAGGGGGCGGAGGGGCTTCCTCACCAGGGAGGTCAGGGCTCAGGCTGGCCTCCTCATCCACCTCCTCATACCAGGGTCTGGGCTGATCAGTGGCCTCACTAAGAACCTTCTCTGGGGGAGACACCACTGCCTTAGGAGCCTCTCTTATGGTGGTTGGTGGAGGGACTTCAGGCAATGCAGCGGGCAACACAACACTCTTACTAAGGGAAATGCTGGACTCCTGGACGACTGAGGAGACTGAGGTCTCTAGCCTCTTGACTGTGCTTATCTGAGGCTTATCTACAGTGATGGTCACTGTGCTTTCCAGAACCCCTTTCACCACTCCTGGGCTGGTCTTCAATGACTCTGAGGTCACCACCTGTTTCTGAAACAGAGGGCTGGGGCCATTCAAGAACAGAGGCTTGGGAGATACAGGTGGCCCTAACTGCTGGGGTTTCGGTTGTGGCTGCTGGCTTGGGGAATTGTCATTAGCATTCACATTTGACACCTGTGAGGGGGACAGTGTTGGGTTGTCTCTGCGTTCCGGAGCCTCCTCCACTGTGGCCGGGGGTGGCAGCTGCTCTTTGGAGATCTGCCCAGTGACGTAGTATATGACCTGCATACGGCAAAGAAAGGAGGAGAGAATTTATATTAAAAACTACAACACTCCATGCTAAAAGCTACAACCACAACACTATACCACATGACTAGCCTATCAATATGGGAAAATACTGTATAGCATGACATGTAAGGCATGCGAATGGCCTTCATAAGGCCCATATCATATACTGTATAACCTGACATTTTGAAACATTTCAAGGCACGTTTGAAACTTTGTATGTCAAGACTATTCTTAGCTTAATAAATGCCCTGAGATTTTGACTACGAAGTTTTAGGGGTCAGAATATGGTATTCGTACCCCTGGGCTTTGACGAAGAGGGGTGGTGTTCCCGTTTTCATCTGCGTTGGGATGTTTGTCCTCCCGAGTTTTCTCCGAGCTCTGCTAGGACAGTTTGTGAATTAAGGGACAGCATTATTGCGAAACTGCACTCTATGGGTGCACTCTATTGTGCAACTGCACTCTAAAGCCTTGTTTCCATTGGCATTTCAATTCAAGCCAGGTCAGGCAGTTCTTGGTGGGCACAGATCGAATTTGGCCCTGATTTAAAGTGCCAATTGAAACAAGGTTTAAGACACTGTGGATTGCATGGTACATTCAAATAGGTATTTACATCCACGGTCTTAACACTGCATTGGGCAACAACCCTCCTATAAGGCATCTTTTGATTTGCTGTACTATAGTATGTGTTTCAAGATCAAGAAGATAAGAAGTAGATCCTGAAACGTCAGCATGTTTCAGTCCTTCGTGTTTACAACATGTTTGTTTACAAGCATTGTTAGATGCCTTATAGGATAACTAATGTAGGCCCAAGTGAATAGTTATGGTATGTTATGGATATTGGGAGTTGGAATGGAATGAAGTTAATTGATAAGGGAATGGATTATGTAAAAACCTTTTAAGGGACAATTTTGGATTCAAACAACAACAAAGCAGTCTATCCAAAATGTCAAAAAATGGATGTACCAATCCCAGATTGCCCCTTTTACTAAGGAATTTGAGTTAACTAACTACTATTCTAATCTGGAGTATAGACTGACATTAATTTTATCCACAGACTAGCTAATGTTCAGTGTTGCATCATGTTTTTATATATTCTCATTGTTGTTGGTGTTACAATAATGTTTTTTCAATCATTCCCATGTGGTGAGTGGAATGCAATGTTGCATGATTGAAAATGTGTATGTAGGAATAACATGACGAATACATTACTGATGTGTGAGCTGAACATTGGGTTTTCCAGGAAGAGATCAAATCTGACCCACAGAATAACTAGTTCTCTCATACAGTCCATGTACAATATCTTGTGTGACATGGTTTCTGAGTGAGGTTTCTGAGTGAGGAACACTACTTTTCACCAGGGCAAATAGGGCTCTGGTCAAACGTAGTGCACTATATAGCTAATAGTGTGCTATATATGGGACACATACACACTGTAGTTTACTGTGTGACTGTGTAAAAACATACTTTCTCCTGTGGACAACAACCACATTAAAATGAATTAGCAGATCAAGTTAAAGTTCTATAAAGATTTAGAGAAATAGTAAGGTATTGTTCCCAAGAAATAAGGCAAGTAAAGAAAAAGAGCCCAGGGGTCAAAGGGCAAAGTGGTCAGTGTGACCAAAAGTAAACCAAGTCTGCAAAAACAAGTCTGTCACCTAGGTACCAAGTAATAAAACCTTGTTCTCCTCAATAGCCAATCAACTCAAAGTAATTTCATATAGCAAAGTCTATTAGCAAATGATTATTTTAATAAAGGGCAGATATTCCAAAGAAAACGGACAAGACCATTCGATTATGTCTGGATTCAAGATAAAGGATTAGTTTATTGGTTGGATCAATCAAGACAAACATAATGCAATCAAATATCAGTAGCAACAAGACATCATTCATTTGTTGGATGCACACAAACTTTTCCAGACATTTTCTGCAGACTTAATCAGAGAAAAACAAGTCCAAGCCATGAGTTACATTGAAATCAAAAAGGGAAAAGGAGAATAAGTCAGAAACAGAAGGGATTTTGGGTAGTGAAGTTGTTACAGTACAGATCTCTTGACTGAGGCAGAAGCAGGGAGGTGTGAAAGTCACAGAGGAAAGGCACAGGGGAGATTAAGGCAATCGTTAGTTGGCGTCACGTAGTCGGCAGAAGCAGGCAGTTAGGCGGACGGCTAAACGGAGCCACATCCTTTACCTTTTTCTCTTTGTGGGGCAATAAAGCCCCAGGTCTTAGCTCTCTGATCTGGGGCTCAACTCGAGTAGAGTGTGTCTCTAGCACACTACTTTTCACCCCTACATCCTTAACTGTGCACTTCTGGAACACCTGGGGAGTGAAGATAGGTCAGGGGATTAGGGTTTAGGGCCCTGAGGGCTAGAGCCTACCTATACTGTACCTACCATATGTGAGGTGATAGTCTATTAGAAACACCTACAGTACCAGGCAGTTAAGTGGAGAACATTCTTCTGCCTAGTTCTGGTCTGATACTACTTGTATACTATTAACCTAGTGCTGTGGTGGCCGAATGGTTCAACTTTCTAGGGGTAAGACCATGGCTAATTCTGGTTTTGTAAATGATTGCATCCATCCTCTGCCAAGTGAAGGTAACCCAACCACCACAAAAATAAGGGATAGAGGACCCACTCCCACAGTCAAGGAGAGATACAGCACATTTAACTTCCTCACAACCACCATCAGTGTGTATGTGGATGTGTTTTCCGGTGGTTCTATGTGATCATTATTGTATATTATAAACTGGGTGGTTTGAGCGCTGAATGCTGATTGGCTGACAGCAATGGTATATCAGACCGTATACCACGGGTATGACAAAACATGTATTTTTACTGCTCTAATTACATTGGTAACCAGTTTATAATAGCAATAAGGCAACTTGGGGATTGTGATATATGGCCAATATACCACGGCTAAGGGCTGTATCCAGGTACTCCACGTTGAGTCGGACGTTATTGCTTAAGTATGACGTACAGTGGGGAAAAAAAGTATTTAGTCAGCCACCAATTGTGCAAGTTCTCTCACTTAAAAAGATGAGAGAGGCCTGTAATTTTCATCATAGGTACACGTCAACTATGACAGACAAATTGAGCATTTTTTTTCTAGAAAATCACATTGTAGGATTTTTAATGAATTTATTTGCAAATTATGGTGGAAAATAAGTATTTGGTCACCTACAAACAAGCAAGATTTCTGGCTCTCACAGACCTGTAACTTCTTCTTTAAGAGGCTCCTCTGTCCTCCACTCGTTACCTGTATTAATGGCACCTGTTTGAACTTGTTATCAGTATAAAAGACACCTGTCCACAACCTCAAACAGTCACACTCCAAACTCCACTATGGAGTTTGTAGACCTGCACCAGGCTGGGAAGACTGAATCTGCAATAGGTAAGCAGCTTGGTTTGAAGAAATCAACTGTGGGAGCAATTATTAGGAAATGGAAGACATACAAGACCACTGATAATCTCCCTCGATCTGGGGCTCCACGCAAGATCTCACCCCGTGGGGTCAAAATGATCACAAGAACGGTGAGCAAAAATCCCAGAACCACACGGGGGGACCTAGTGAATGACCTGCAGAGAGCTGGGACCAAAGTAACAAAGCCTACCATCAGTAACACACTACGCCGTAACACACTAAATTGAACTTTTTGGTAAAAACTCAACTCGTCGTGTTTGGAGGACAAAGAATGCTGAGTTGCATCCAAAGAACACCATACCTACTGTGAAGCATGGGGTTGGAAACATCATGCTTTGGGGCTGTTTTTCTGCAAAGGGACCAGGACGACTGATCCGTGTAAAGGAAAGAATGAATGGGGCCATGTATCGTGAGATTTTGAGTGAAAACCTCCTTCCATCAGCAAGGGCATTGAAGATGAAACGTAGCTGGGTTTTTCAGCATGACAATGATCCCAAACACACCGCCCGGGCAACGAAGGAGTGGCTTCGTAAGAAGCATTTCAAGGTCCTGGAGTGGCCTAGCCAGTCTCCAGATCTCAACCCCATAGAAAATCTTTGGAGGGAGTTGAAAGTCTGTGTTGCCCAGCGACAGCCCCAAAACATCACTGCTCTAGAGGAGATCTGCATGGAGGAATGGGCCAAAATACCAGCAACAGTGTGTGAAAACCTTGTGAAGACTTACAGAAAACGTTTGACCTGTGTCATTGCCAACAAAGGGTATATAACAAAGTATTGAGAAACTTTTGTTATTGACCAAATACTTATTTTCCACCATAATTTGCAAATAAATTCATAAAAAATCCTACAATGTGATTTTCTGGATTTTGTTTTTCTCAATTTGTCTGTCATAGTTGACGTGTACCTATGATGAAAATTACAGGCCTCTCTCATCTTTTTAAGTGGGAGAACTTGCACAATTGGTGGCTGACTAAATACTTTTTTCCCCCACTGTATGTGTGTGTGGTGGTAAATGTACAGCAGCTGTTGGATGTACAGTATATTTCTCACCTGGAGCTCTGCCATGATTTTGTCTCCCTCGTCCTCCTCCTCCTCCTCGTGGATGGCTGAGGCAGCAACGGGGGGAGGGGTGGAGGGCTTGGTCTCTGGCGGGACCTTGGTGGGTTTGGACTGGCTAGCTGGGGCTTGTGCTAGGACCTCAGCCTCATCTTCCTCCTGGGCAGATGGGAATGGGGGAGGGGGTTAATACATTTAATATGACTCGAATACTTTTAATATGACTCGAATACTAGCATCAATATTATTTACCACAAGAGTTAAACAGATCAACATGGGCCATTCCAAGATATCAATTATAATGTTCTCAAATTGCTTGATTAACTGTTCTTAGACTTCATCCCCTCTCCCCATGTTGTTTAAGGTCAGGTCTGGACCACCCAAGTGGAAACGATGTCTGTAGTTTGCCATTCACTCTGGTCCAGGGCGTTACGTGCGGCTTGCTGAGGCTCAGTGTCAGCAAGCCGCATGTAACCCCCTGGACCAGAGCTAGTTGACCACAGCCTACCCTGCGCTAAACTACATGGCAGACTGACCTGTCCCGAGGCAGACTCCTTCCTGCTGGTGTAAACCACCTCGCCAGACCGTGTGGTGGTCATTCCAGAGCTGGAGGTGGGAAAGGTCTTTCTGGGTGGTGGAGGGGGAGGGGCCTTCTCCAAGCTGACTTTGCCCACTTTGTCTGCAGCAGCGGTAGGCTTGGTGGTGGTGGCCTTCTCTAGCACCGACTTGGGGAGTTTCTCAGGACCAGCAGGCTTGGCTTTAGCTTGTTTCTCTGTGCTGGGCTCAGGCTGAGTCCATTCTGTAATAGACAAACACACACATAAGGTCAACAATGAGGGCTACATGAGAACTACAAAGGGTCATTTTCCTGAAGAAAAATTGTTTACTTGCTTCAAAAAACCTAGGCAAAATAATTGTTTGTAGTAGTGGAATATAGTAGTGGACTCTTTGGTAGAAGCTGAAGCTGTATAAAAGTCCCTTGCCTGGGGTTGTCTCCTCCATGGCAGCAGGGGGTGCTGTAGAGGCCTCCCCCTCACTCGGCACATCCAGACTGGGAATGCCTTTCATCATGTTGGCCTGGGCCTCATTTAGGATCCTCTCAAACTCCCTCCCATTGTAGTGGCCCATGTTCTGCCTCCGCTCCTCCCACTCCTTCTCTGCCGCCTGTGGAGGGAGGGAGGAAGGGAGGGAGGGAGGAAGGGAGGGAGGGAGGGAGAGAGAGGAGAGAAGAGAGAGAGAAGAGAGAGAGAAGAGAGAGAGGAGAGAAGAGAGATAGAGAGGGAGAGAGAGAGAGAGAGAGAGAGAGAGAGAGAGAGAGAGAGAGAGAGAGAGAGAGAGAGAGAGAGAATAAATAAATAAATAAATAAATAAATAAATAATAACCCATAGGGGATATTGATATCATAGATCATAGACTGAGGACTGAAGTGCACTATGACTTCCATAGGGCTTACCTCTATAGACATGGCCCTGTTTTTGCTCTTGCTGCTCTTGGTGTGAATCTCCTCCATTAGGAGGTTCCCTGTCCCGCTGCTGCCGTTATTGACCGGAGCCTGGGTCGCCAACTCTAGGATGGCAGCAGGGGTTTTCTTCTGCTGGGCAGGGCTTCCCACCTGGCTGGAGTGGTTGGAGTTTGAGGCCGAGGTGGTGCAGGTTGAACCCTTGGCTGAGCTGGGGGATTCCCGGCCCTGGCTGTGGGTGGGGGTTGTGGGGGGGCTGGGCTGGACCAGCAGGGCTGCAGACTGCTGGGACTGCTGCATGTGGACCGGAGCACTCTGGACGTGGTGGATGACCATGGGGGAGGAGGGCATGACCACCTCAGACCTGATGGAGGAGCTCTGGGGCTCGGGCAGGGCCGAGGGGGAAGCTGGAGGCTCCACTGTGGGGTCGGAGTCCACTGTGGTGGTGGTGGTGGCTGGGCTGCTCTCTACTGGGGTTGGTTTCACTGAGGCACACATAGCAGGGTCAGATCCCTTCAGTAGGCCCTCTGTAGCACATCTGTAGTGCAGAGAGGGCAGGAGAGACTTACTATTGGAGTTACAAAATTCAGGTTACTTTCTCAAAATTCAATTCTGGTTGGAGGATTCTGTATTTTGTGCTTCCAACCAGGATTTCTGAAAATATATATTTTTTCCCACAGAATTTTGGGAAAGTTTTGGAAATATACTGACCACAAACAGCCAAACACTAGTTAATCTAAACTGTATCCCACTAAGGTTAAACACATACTGTACCTATGATGACATATGCCATGCTCCCATGAAAAGCATGCTTCAAATCTCCTAACCTCATAACACAGAACAGTACATACAGAACTTTGGAATTTGAAAGAACTACTGCCACACCCAAGCTTATTTAGCCTGAAAACACAACAAACCTCCCCAAGTGTATTTGGCCCAAACCCAGCATCAAAGTGAGTGTAATCATCTCTGACGTACGGGGAGAGAAATGTACTGAGGGGACGAGGTAATGTAGATTAGTTTGGCTGCGTTGTGTGGTGCGCCCTGGGAAAAAGTGTTGACGACCCACAGAGCAGAGTGTCTCTGACAGATGTTTATATGGAAAGGAGATGCCGCAGGGAGCCGTGTTGCGCCCAAATTAATTAAGTTATCGGTTCAATGGAGAGCTAAATTAAGATGGACGCTACCTCCGTCCATTCCGCATGACCCATCGGATGGGATCGGAGCCAACGCCTCGCCAGCAGAATCAACTGTTAGTGTCCCTTACACTATAGTCATGCTCCCCACTGTCTGACTCTGAAAGCTTCTGTTTTCCACCCACTCTCACTGTCTCTCTTTTAACCTCTCACTCCCTCGCTTCTGTACGTCTTGGCTACATTCAGATTCTCTACCCTTCTTTCGAAGTGGGCACTTGTACACTCCCCCTCATGGATTTAAAAAGAACGGACTGGTGTGAGGAATATGGTTCATGTACCTCTTCAGGCTGCTGAGTGTTTCCGTGAGGCTCTTGACTCTCTTCAGCATGCTGTCCAGTTTGTGGGGCTCCTCCTTGAGGAACTTCACAGCCTCCACCTCTACCCTCAGCACCGCACGCATCCTCGTCTGCAGTGCCGGAAACTCCCCTGAGAAAACATACAGGAAATAACATGTTTTTTTAAATGAACAGTTTCAGTTTTATATTTTCCATTAATTTCACCAACCTTCATTGGAGGACAACTTTATTAGTGTGCATACCTTTTTCAAGCTTATTCTCTTTTTGGACACAAAAACACATTTTCTTTTAGGAAATGTATGTTTTCCAGTTGTAGCTTTATGTTACCCTAATGTTATTATACTGAACAAAAATATAAACGCAACATGTAACAATTTCTACGATTTTACTGAGTTACAGTTCATTTAAGGAAATCAGTCAATTTAAATAAATTCATTAGACCCTAATCTATAGATTTCACATAACTGGGCAGGGGCATAGGCCGCTCATTGTTTGTCTGTATTGTTATTGTAATTGTTTTTAATAACCTGCCCAGGGACTGCGGTTGAAAATTAGCTGTCTGGCTAAAACCGGCAATTTTACTGAAACGTTGATTAATGTGCACTGTCCCTGTAAAAATAAAAATAAACTCAAACTCGGGAGCCAGGCCTACACAATGGGGAGCCAGGCCCAGCCAATCAGAATGAGTTTTTCCCCACAAAAGGGCTTTATTACAGACAGAAATACCCCCCCCCTAGCACCAGGTCATGGTGTTTAATCAGCTTCTTGATATGCCACACCTGTCAAGTGGATGGATTATCTAGACAAAGGCTAAAATGCTCACTAACAGGGATGAAAGAAGTTTGTGCACAACATGTTAGAGAAATAAGCTTTTTGTGCGAATGGAACATTTCTGTGATCTTTTATTTCACCTCATGAAACATGGGACCAACACTTTACATGTTGCGTTTAGATTTTTGTTCAGTATAAATTCATTAATTATATTATCTGACTTCTCACCGGTAACTGAAAACCCTAGCTCATGGAACCTATAGAATCCATGTCAACGCACATAATCGAAGGTACTGTTTGTGTCTTAAAAGTAGGCTATACTGTACTGCCGTCTTACCTTTGAGTCCTGCCAAAGATTCTCCCACTCTCCTGAGGCTAACTGCCCCCTCCTCCACATGCTTCAGTGTCACAGCTCTGTGAGCCCCCGCCGAGCCAGTCTCCCTCTTCAGAGTGCCCACATACAGCTCCAGCTCCCTACACACACAGACAGACAGAGAGGACATTCAAAAACACCAGCTCACCTCCATTCCTATTTGGCATAATTTTTATCACTCCTCACCTCTCCACCATGCTAGCTGATGTGTGGTGAGGTTTGTGCCACAAATGGTTGCCACACATTGGTGGTGGATGAGGTGGGTTTCCCTCTTACTATGTAAGCACTTAAAGCACTACATAAATCTATTCAAACATTTTAATAATTTCATCTCCATTGCTACCAAATGAGATATGGAGGCACCATCAAATCCCTGACATACTAGTGATGCTAACAGATCGGATCAGACTTCAGATTGCGTGCTTGAAGTGTCACCTGAAACACTGACTCCATTTCGACACAAGGGGGCAGACAATACTAATTTAACCTTATGGGCACAGAGGGAGCTCTAGTTTGAGGTAACTGAATGACAAGTGAAACAAGGTTGTATTTAAAAAACAAGAACATCTGGGCTGTAGGAAAGTCAGCCCTTCAACCTTAATAGCCAAAGTTGCCTTTCTCAGTCAGACCCCGCTGCACTTCTTCTGTGAGTTGGCTCCGACTGGATTGGGTTACTTGCCAAAACCTCAACTGTGTTCACATGGAAACTGGGTTTATTTGTGCGACCACTTCCTTACATAGGATCCTATCAGTTTGATACACTGTATCCATGGGATCCTGAGAAGTCAACTCCAAGGGGAAATGTGCTGGGTGGATGATAACATTGTGTGCTGTTCTGAACTGCATGAGAGAACTAAATGGTGATTTCTTTGTGACCAGCTTCCTTGGAGAACCGTAAGCTTTTTGTAGAGTTGCTCTCAAATGGGAGTGAAAAGACGATAACTACTGACGTCGCAGTCCTCTTATGTGAAGGACTCTTGATGATGACTATGGGAAAGTTCAACTGAAGAGCTGACGGGGAAAAAACAGCTCTTTCTTCTTAAAAGAGCTTTACAGGACTTCAGAAAGTAGATAAAGTGTCGCAGCATTAAAATCCACTTCTAAAAGTAGCTTGACAAACACTTATGATGTCCCAGGGATCATCTATTTGAGGAGGCTTCATGGGCACTCAACTCTCTCTCATCTTTCTCTATTGCTCAAGGGCAGTAGGATCACTGGCTTAGTGCTGACAGCTGGCTCAGATCTAGCCTCTTTGACGGGCTTATGATGACTGGTAAACGGAACTGACTGGAAATAAATAGAAGTGACCAGAGACAGACTGGGAACAGAAATCACCCCCACACACAATGGTTCCCCCAAAAAGGAACACTTTTTTCCTCGAGGCCCTCATTATTAGCCAAACAATTATAATTCTGTGCAAAAGCCTCACTTAAGACCAACCCACTGGGATAAAGATGGACCAGCCCATCCGGCATTTGCCTGAACTTCCCTATGGCCAGTCCGTTTCTGGGAGTGACTCAATCGAGCCAAGGATTGGAAATGCAGGAAATGCATGTGCTTAAAACTATGGCAAATCCTGTAGGCCTACTGACATTTGTGAAAAAGGACGCAATACACAACATCTTCACTGACCTTCCTTTGACATCCTCCATGGTAGCAATATCCTCATGTTATGGACCATTGGATTGCTGCAGTAGTTGTAACAATGATAAACCTTGGTCGTTTGTCGCCTCACTTCCTCTCAGAGTATTTTTAGAACCCTCAGCAGACACCCTCCCAGGTTGTATTAAATTGCGTTTCTCTCCAGAGGAGAAAGCTACGTCTTTTCACACCACATTCCCTGTCACGCACGCAGCGCTTCAGCCAAACAGAGCTCATTAACTAGCCATATTTAAAACACTACGGCAGGCCTTTGCTGAGTAAGAGCTGGCATTGCACCAAGGAAAACACAACTGAATACAGCACCCTGCGCCTGTCTGATTAACCCAGAAAACCAACGTTCAGGAAATGCCCCTATCGTGATGTTTATCAGGACATATGTTTACTGCTTTCTACCCAGGCAGTGCTATGACCTTGCCTGTTAAACATCAGAATTAAAAGGATTCAATTACCGTTCCCGATTGGCAAACCGCGACGAGTGAATTAAATTAAGAGTATGCTGCAAATAATTGCCTTCCCAGGTTGCCTGGTCCTATACTTCAGTGATAGCTGGGCTTGAATGAGAGACAGACATGGCCTGCCGGTACCTGTGAGCTATGTTTGGAGAGTGTGCACTTGCAGTTAGTCAGTAGTCAGTAACACCTTGGTCGTATTCACTAGCAACCAAACGAAACAGGCCGAAACAGGGAGGGACCTACACGAGTTGCTACAATGTGCACTACTTAATACACCCCCCCCCTCCTCTCTTTCTTACCCTAGTTGGTTGAACACCCTCTCCTCCAGGCCCAGGTACTTGTGTCTGTCCTCCTCCACCAGGACTCTCTGTCTTTGGACCGGGTCTTCCAGACGTCTCATGGCCTCCGCCAGTTTCAAACTGATCTCCTGCTCAGCCCGCTTCAGCTGCACATGCAGAGCCTCCTGGTTCTGGAGCTAGGTAACACACACACACACACACACACACACACACACAGTTTTGTCTTTCTTAACCAATCTAGATAGAGGGGGTTGAAAAGTAGCTGATAGACAGTAGTTGAGTGGCTGAGAAGCAATACTTGACAGCTGATATGAAATTGATAACCAATAACAGTAGATAGGGGCTCCCGGGTGATGTTTCCCCTCGGTACAGATCTAGGATGAGCTTTCCCTCCCCCAATCCTAACCTTAACCATAAGTGGGGAAAATGCTAAACTGACCCAATATCAGCGTCTAGGGGAAACGTAATCCTACTCCTAGATAGAGCATTGGTGACGTTACCTGCAGCTGTCTCATCTGATGGAGCTGCAGCCGAAGGTCCGAGACGTTCTTCTTGCATTGGAGCAGGTTGGCCTGGAAGGGAGCGGAGCCTGGGAGTATGAGGGTGGAGCCATTCTCAGAGGGGGGCGCGGGAGTTTTGGGTGCTAGGACAGGGGAACCTCCTGTATGAGATCAAATCAAATAGCCACATTTAAAACCACTACAAGCTAGTCAGTTCCTCAATTTTGATAATAAAACTGGAAAGAAAACATAGATTTGGATAGAGGGCTCACTTGCCACAAACATGCTTTATCTAGCTGTATAAAAACTGATTTAGAACAATACGCCCAAAAAATTGGAAAACACATATTAATTCATTTTATTTGAATTATTCACAATGTAGGCTATGCTGTAGAGATGCATCCACCAGTACATAAAACCCTTTCACAATGTGACGGAAAAACACTGCAGATTTTGGAGGAAGCATGCAATCCATAACTCCCTTATTTACTGCAAATGAAATACCCCACAGTCAAAAGTGCACATGCACGTAAAAAGTAAAATGTCTCCTCTGAGATTGAATGGATGGAGTAATGTATTAATGTTTTCTCCCCTCCTTTTCACTTTCTGCCTTGTGTCTGCATGCGTCCCAAATACTACCCTATTCCCTATGTAGTGCGCTACTTTTGACCAAGGCCCATTGGGAAGCAGGCAATACAAAGTAGTGCACTATATAGGGAATAGGGTGCCATTTGAGATGCAACCTCTGTGAGGCATTAGCCTGGCCACAGCCCAGCACTCGCCTCACTCGCCTTGCGCATTTCCAAACACATTCCCCACAGCCGCGTTGGTTCCTGATTTAATATTCCTAATGTTAAGTAATGAGGGCCTGTGCTTCCCGTGGCGTCTCCCCCGCTGCCCACAGGAGCACACGGGTACTTACATTGGCAGTGCCGACTGAAATAGACTGCCGACCGCCAACCTCACCATGGCCACATCTCAAATGGAACCCTATTCCCTATGTAGTGCACTACTTTTGACCAGGCCCCATCAAACTCTGGTCAAAAGTAGTGCACGGTATAGGGAGCAATTTGGGACGCAATCACTGTGAGAAATAAGAGACAGGAGACGGGTTCGCCTGCTGTCGAAAACAACCGCCAGACATAATGTCCTCTGGCCTTGGAGACTGACGACAGAATGACTCTTGACAAGCCATGCCAACTGCAGTCTGTATTGACAGTAACTGAAGTTGAATTCAATTACACTGTGTCTCCCATTCAGAATGGAGTATGACCTATGACCTTCAGTTCTGTCTCTGGGGCGCTTGTTGTCAACAGGTGGGAGCGGCACAGTGTCACTAAGCCACTCAAGTCCCTTAGCGGAAGAGAAAAAGTCCCTGCCCAGTGTCAGAACAATGAGAGAGTGGAATGTTCTGAGTGAATGAGAGAGAGAGAGAGAGAGAGAGAGAGAGAGAGAGAGAGAGAGAGAGAGAGAGAGAGAGAGAGAGAGAGAGAGAGAGAGAGAGAGAGAGAGAGAGAGAGAGAGAGAGAGAGAGAGAGAGAGAGAGAGAGAGAGAGAGAGAGAGAGAGAGAGAGAGAGAGAACTCCCTCCACACAGAGTAGGTCAGCGTCCCAAATGTTACCCTATTCCCTATATAGTGCAGTACTTCTGACCGGGGCCCATCAAAAGTAGTGCACTATCATGGGAATATGGTGCCATTTGGGACACAGCCGTAGTAGAGCCCTGCAGTGGGGATAGAGAACACAGTGCTATTGTCACTGTGTAATCCCCCTCCAACATTCACCTCAGAGTCCTCTCATAGTGAATGACAGCTGCACAGACCTGAAGTGCAGGTTCAGATGAGTGCTGTTCATGTGTGTCACACTGTCTGCATTCCATATCACACCCCTTTATATGGCACTACTATACCCTAGGGCTCTGGTCAAAAGTAGTGCACCATACAGGGAATAGGGTGCCATTTAGGATTCATCCACTGTTTGGAGACCGAGAGGATGCTCTTGTGATGGGGACAGGTTATGAAGTAACAACAAGGAAATATTTGAGGAATCAAGAGAAATATGAGCCATAGTCAATTCTTCATGTTTGTATTTGATGGCGGGAAAGATAAGCAAAGGGAAACCTGTGAGAAGAAGAAAAAGTTGCTTTGGCAGCAGCCGCATAATGCAGGGAAACTTACATCCGTTCTACCTCATTTCTACCAGCATGTTAAATGTGCAACCAGAGGGAAAAAAACTCTACACCACCTTCACTCCACACACAGAGACGCGTACAAAGCTCTCCCTCGCCCTCCATTTGGCAAATCTGACCATAACTCTATCCTCCTGATTCCTGCTAATAAGCAAAAACTAAAGCAGGAAGCACCAGTGACTCGGTTAATAAGGAAGTGGTCAGATGACGCAGATGCTAAGCTACAGGACTGTTTTGCTAGCACAGATTGGAACATGTTCCGGGATTCTTCCGATAGCATTGAGGAGTACACCACATCAGTCACTGGCTTCATCAATAAGTGCATCGATGACGTCGTCCCCACAGTGACCGTACGTACATACCCCAACCAGAAGCCATGGATTACAGGCAACATCCGCACTGAGCTAAAGGGTAGAGCTGCCGTCTTCAAGGAGTGGGACTCTAACCCGGACGCTTTTAAGAAATCCCGCTATGCCTTCCGACGAGCCATCAAACAGGCAAAGAGTCAATACAGGACTAAGATTGAATCGTCCTACACCGGCTTTGATGCTCGTCAGATGTGGCAGGGCTTTAAAACTATTACAGACTACAAAGGGAAGCACAGCCACGAGCTGCCCAGTGACACAAGCCTACCAGACAAGCTAAATCACTTCTATACTCGCTTCGAGGCAAGCAACACTGAAGCATGCATGAGAGCATCAGCTGTTCCGGATGACTATGTGATCAAGCTCTCTGTAGCCGATGTGAGTAAGACCTTTAAACAGGTCAACATTCAGAAGGCCGCAGGGCCAGATGGATTACCAGGACGTGTACTCCGAGCATGCGCTGACCAACTGGCAAGTGTCTTCACTGACATTTTCAACATGTCCCTGACTGAGTCTGTAATACCAACATGTTTCAAGCAGACCACCATAGTCCCTGTGCCCAAGAACACTAAGATAACCTGCCTAAATTACTACCGACCCGTAGCACTCACATCTGTAGCCATGAAGTGCTTTGAAAGGCTGGTCATGGCTCACATCAACACCATTATCCCAGAAACCCTAGACCCACTCCAATTTGCATACCGCCCCAACAGTTCCACAGATGATGCCATCTCTATTGCACTCCACACTGCCCTTTCCCACCTGGACAAGAGGAACATCTATGTGAGAATGCTATTCATTGACTACAGCTCAGCGTTCAACACCATAGTGTCCTCAAAGCTCATCACTAAGCTAAGGACCCTGGGACTAAACACCTCCCTCTGCATCTGGATCCTGGACTTCCTGACGGGCTGCCCCCAGGTGGTAAGGGTAGGTAACAACACATCTGCCACGCTGATCCTCAACATGGGGGCCCCTCAGGGGTGCATGCTCAGTCCCCTCCTGTAGTCCCTGTTCACCCATGATTGCATGGCCAGGCACAACTCCAACACCATCATTAAGTTTGCCGACGACACAACAGTCACCGACAATGATGAGACAGCCTATAGGGAGGAGGTCAGAGACCTGGCCGTGTGGTGCCAAGATAACAACCTCTCCCTCAACGTGCTCAAGACAAAGATGATTGTGGACTACAGGAAAAAAATTATCATCGACGGGGCTGTAGTGGAACAGGTTGAGAGCTTAAAGTTCCTTGGTGTCCACATCACCAACAAACTATCATGGTCCAAACACACCAAGACAGTCATGAAGAGGGCACGACAAAGCCTATTCCCCCTCAGGAGACTGAAAAGATTTGGCATGGGTCCTAAGATCCTCAAAAAGTTCTACAGCTGCACCATCGAGAGCATCCTGACTGGTTGCATCACCGCCTGTTATGGCAATTGCTCGGCCTCCGACCGCAAGGCAATACAGAGGGTAGTGAATACGGCCCAGTACATCACTGGGGCAAAGCTTCCTGCCATCCAGGACCTCTATACCAGGCGGTGTCAGAGGAAGGCCCTAAAAATTATCAAAGACTCCAGCCACCCTAGTCATAGACTGTTCTCTCTGCTACCGCACGGCAAGCGGTACCGGAGCACCAAGTCTAGGTCCAAAAGGCTTATTAACAGCTTCTACCCCCAAGCCATAAGACTCCTGAACAGCTAATCATGGCTACCCAGACTATTTGCATTGCCCCCCCACCCCACCCCTCTTTTATGCTGCTGCTACTCTGTTTATTATTTATGCATAGTCACTTTAACTCTACCCACATGTACATATTACCTCAATTACCTCGACTAACCTGTGCCCCTGCACATTGACTCTGTACCGGTACCCCCTGTATATAACCTCCCTACTGTTGTTTTACTTTAATTTACTTTTTTTTTCTTAAACTGCATTGTTGGTTATGGGCTTGTAAGTAAGCATTTCACTGTAATGTCTACAGCTGTTGTATTCGGCACATGTGGCAAATCAAATTTGATTTGATTTGATAAATACGCAATGTTTTCATTCCGCCGCTCTCAAGATTGCATTTATTTTATCGAACTCACATCTGCCTTGACCGCTAGCTAGACAAGATTGAATCATCTTGGCGAGATCGAGAAATAATACATCTCTCTTGTTTTACGTAATGCTTTCAGCAGCACATATTCAGTTAGTAGCTTTTTTGCCTCCATCCCCCGCCTAGAGTGTATGACAAGGGAGGATTTGAGGGGAATATGAGTTGACGAAGAGCAAAGACGCCTGTCTGATTGACTGACTGGGTGTTTTAGTGGTGCAGTAGGGGAGAGCATATGGCTGATTGTGTTGAGTGACATTAAGAGACTTGTCTGTGCAATGCATCATGGGGGAAACATGGGGGATATGCAACAAAGAACTGTCTCTCTAAGTAGACAATGGTTACGTCCCAACTGGCACCCTATTCCCTATATAGTGCACTACTTTTGACCAGGGCCCACAGGGCTCTAGTCAAAAGTAGTGAACTATATAGGGAATAGGGTGCTATTTGGGACGTAAACCATAATGTGATACATGCAGAAGGGTAATAATGGTCCTCCTGACCTGCACTGTGTGCACTATGAACCGGAGATGCTTGCCTTGATGTCTTCATGGGTTGTTCACTACGCACACACAGAGAGGAAGAGAAAAATACATTAATTCTGTTGAATCACAATAAAAGAGAATGAATACAAAGCCCTGGGCACTGTCCAGGAGTTAGGGTTGACAGATATTAGTAAAAGCATTGTAGACGTAGAGACAGCCATACAGTATGATTGGACAGACTGACATAGACGGACGGGTTAACATGATGGCTGTTAGGAGCAGTCTGTTCCCATAGTAAGCCATCCCATTTTCATTCCAGTCATGATGCACACATTGAGATTGTTGATTGGAAACTCAAGCAAACACAGTAGCACAAGATCTCCACAGAGTTCGTTGAAATGCAAAGATAACTGCAGCCAGTCAATATCAGACCCCTCGTCCACACTGTTTCCCCATGACAATGTTCTGTTTACCTAGGCTGGCACATATTGCTAAAATTGAGAGCTAGTTTATCTGTTATTATCTTTGTCCACTTTGACTGGGGCTACCTGAGCTTATCTCTGAGAACTCAATGTCCCACGCTGCCTCACTTCTTCATCTTCTTGCTTACCTGAGAGCCTCGTTGGTGCCACTAGTGTTTGGGGACTTTAAAAGTGCATGCTGAACAAGACCAGTCAAGCTGGCAATCTGTTGCTCCATAGCCTTCATTCGCTCTCTGCAGGAAACATCAGAAAATCAAGCTTTTAACACTGGGGCTAACTAGGCGTTAAAGGTGGCATTCTAACATTTAAGTTAGAAGTAATTCTTAAGTTAGGAGTTACTTCCTAAATACTACCGGAATTGTTTTCATGCTAGATGTGGTTGCTTAGCGATCAAATTAGCAATATAACATTAAAACATTGAGTAGGTCATCTATCTTAGAACATTTATGAAAACCTTTAGGAATAACTTATTGATTTGTGAAGTAGATGGGGTTTCTGCTATATAAACAACAGTTAAATGCACGGTTAAAGCAATAGCTGGCCAAAAGTACGTGTCCCAAGCTGTCAAACTACCGTGCTAAGGTAGTGAATGCTTGATTCAGGAACTACCTTATATTCCAGCTAACATGGCCTAATAACTTCAACCACTTAAGCATGTCTGCTTTGCCCTCCCGGAGTCTGCCTGGAATAGTCTAGAAAAACGAGTGGGCTAGTAGGAATTTCTAAAAACAAGACAAGGGCTGTCTCGTAGATTTAGCCCAGAGGTTGGAGATGAGTTGATGAGTTGAACATCCCACGGAGCACCATTAAATCATTTATTAAAAAATGGAAATAATATGGCACCACAACAAACCTGCCAAGAGAGGGCCGCCCACCAAAACTCACAGACCAGGCAAGGAGGGCATTAATCAGAGAGGCAACAAAGAGACCAAAGATAACCCTGAAGGAGCTGCAAAGCTCCACAGCGGAGATTGGAGTATCTGTCCATAGGACCACTTTAAGCCATACACTCCACAGAGCTGGGCTTTACGGAAGAGTGGCCAGAAAAAAGTAAGCAAACACGTTTGGTGTGTGGGAGACTCCCAAAACATATGGAAGAAGGTACTCTGGTCAGATGAGACTAAAATTGAGCTTTTTGGCCATCAAGGAAAACGCTATGTCTGGCGCAAACCCAACACCTCTCATCACCCCGAGAACACCATCCCATGTTTTTCATCGACAGGGACTGGGAAACTGGTCAGAATTGAAGGAATGATGGATGGCGCTAAATACAGGGAAATCTTGAGCGAAACCTGTTTCAGTTTTCCAGAGATTTGAGACTGGGACGGAGGTTCACCTTCCAGCAGGACAATGACCCTAAGCATACTGCTAAAGCAACACTCGAGTGGTTTAAGGGGAAACATTTAAATATATTGGAATGGCCTAGTCAAAGCCCAGACCTCAATCCAATTGAGAATCTGTGGCCTGTAGCTCAGTTGGTAGAGCATGGCGCTTGCAACGCCAGGGTTGTGGGTTCGTTTCCTACGGGGGGCCAGTATGAAAATGTATACACTCACTAACTGTAAGTCGCTCTGGATAAGAGCGTCTACTAAAATGTAAAATGTATGACTTAAAGATTGCTGTACACCAGCGGAACCCATCCAACTTGAAGGAGCTGGAGCAATTTTGCCTTGAAGAATGGGCAAAAATCCCAGTGGCTAGATGTGCCAAGCTTATAGAGACATATCCCAAGAGACTTGCAGCTGTAATTGCTGCAAATGGTGGCTCTACAAAGTATTGACTTTTGTGGGGTGAATAGTTATGCACGCTCAAGTTTTCTGTTTTTTTGTCTTATTTCTTGTTTGTTTCACACAAAAAAAACATTTTGCATCTTCAAAGTGGTAGGCATGTTGTGTAAATCAAATGATACAACCCCCCCAAAAAATCTTTTTTTTAAATTCCAGGTTGCAAGGTAACAAAATAGGAAAAATGCCAAGGGGGGTGAATATTTTGCAAGCCACTGTATATTGAATGCTCTTTGTGCATGTAAGTACAACTCATGCTTGAAGGCCACTCTGTAGTTATAAAGTAAGTGACCTAAAATATCATTTTTGTTTTTACATATTAAGTAACTTCCCACTAAAACTCCTTTCCTCCTTCTTTCCTATATGCCTGGGCCATTTAAGATGGGGAAGGTCCCAAATTGGGCATAGGGCTCTGGTCAAAAGTAATGTACTATATAGAGAATAGGATGCCATTCGGTAGGCAACCATGGTGTTTGTACCATGCAGGTGGTCCTAGTGGTCTGTTCCCCCTGATTCGGCTGTTTCAGAAAACCCTGGTCTAATCCAACCAACCTGGTCAATATTTTCTTTGGTTTTCCTGAGCGGTGCACACATAGCCCCCTCGGCCCCCTAGCCCTCCGGTCTAATGCATTCCAATGAAACCACATATGATTGTACGGCTGGACTATGTCCCTCATGCCCTCTCCTGTGTTTGTGTGTTCTGTTTTTCGTGCAACCAGAACCAGCCTAGTTGAACTAGCTGTCGGAGTGCTGGTTTAAACGATCTACATGGGCATGCAGACAGTGTGTTATTAAAACAACAATACCTCACAATAACATGATAATATACAGTCTGAATAGGGGGAGTGAGGCGCTATTCAATTACTGCAGTGGCTTGGTTTACTCTGTCAACTATGGAGCACTGAGTAAACTCTCTTCAACTGGAATAGGATATTCATACAAATAGAGCTAGTCACACACAGACCCAACTGGTGTAGCTGAAAGACACAATAAGACAAGACAATATATAACACTAACACACTGTTATAATAGCCCACTGTGCTAAATGTGATGACCTTGACAGGATGGGCCAGATACACTGTGTCTCTACCCTGCAGTTGTGATGATGAGACACAGTCTGAGCTGAGATGAACTCAAGAGCAGCCCACAGTCACAGTTAGGATTGTGCAGGGATGCAGTGTTAGTTCATCCATGCTCCCATGCAGTATCATACCCTTTCACTGAACCCCCACCCCACACTACCCGACCTGTCCCACCTCAGGTCCCTCGGGTTGGCTTACCGTGTCTGGGGGTCGTTGGCTGGAGGGATAGGGCCGTGACCCTGGAGGTCCGGGACAACTGGAGACGCCATGTTGCTCCTGCTTTTGACCACTTCCTCCTTCCTGAAGCTCTGGCGAACAGGCGAGGAGCGCTCCAGGGGAATGCCGCCATGAGGGGGTGGGGCCCCGTGGATGTCAATCATCCTCACTTCTGCCATCCTGTGGGGGGAGGGGGGCGGGGTCTTGGAGCCCAGCGTGGGCAGCTGGCTGTCTCCGTACTTCCTGGACTTCTGGCGGTAGAGTGAGGTTTGTTCCATGGCCTCAGTGGGGCTGGGCCCGCTGTAGGAGCCTGTGGAGCGGATGGAGGCGCGGTGGTAGCCAGCCAGGCTGCCATGGTCCACCATGTCCCCAGGAGGAGGGTGCCCTCCATGGGCAGGGCCGTGGCCCATCCTCCCCTCGTGGAGAAGGTACGGGTCAGCATAAAGCCCCTCTCCCCCTCTCACCAGGCTGTGACTCTTACTGCCTAGGTCCTCATCGGGCTTGACGTCCCGCCTCTCCAGGATGGCGCTGGGGCAGGGCGACACGGAGCGCACGGGAGGGGTGGCGTTAGAGATGCGCTCCCGGGGCATAGTGGCGCTGCAGGGCATGGACCCCGGGCGCGGGCCGAAGGGGATCCGGGAGGGCGAGGGGGGCATGGAGTGGGCCGTGGTTGGGGACAAGGAGCCCTGCATGGGGTGGTGTGGAGGGTGGCCCATAGGGGGATGTCTGGGGGGGTGCTGCCCATCTCTGCTGGCGTACATCATCTCTCTGTGCATCTGGAGGAAACCAAAAACACAAAATCATGTTATTATTACTTTACAAATTAGTCTACCGTGTTTACCAAACACAGTAGCGTGTCAGTGGAGGGTGAAGTTGCGCCACTAATGGTTAAGGTTAGGAGTAGGGGAGGGGAAGCTGATCCTAGAGCTGTACCTAGGGAAAACTTCACCTTGGCGAATCAGGTGTCACAGCCCTCAGGTAGTCGGCCATGACACCTCCCTCTGCATGTCTAGGAGCTAGAGAGTTTGTTTATATATATATATATATATATATATATATATATATATATAATATATATAATTATATATATATATATATATATATATATATATATATATATATATATATGGAGCGAGGTCACCCCCAAACACACCACGTCAGCTTCCCAAATGGCACCCTATTTCCTATGTAGTGTACTACTTTTGACAAAGGCCCATAAGGCTCTGGTCAAAAGTAGTGCACTAAGTAGGGAATAGGGTGCCATTTGGGATGCAAACCATTACTCTCTAACCCAGTTAGGACAATAAGCCATGAGAACCCAGGGATTATTGTGTGAATAACTCCCATCTAGGGCTGTTCTAAGGCTTGACGTGGTGCGTGTTATATTCACAATGTCTGCAATTACCTCTGCCTATCTGCCACTATTGTTTGTGGAGATATGGTCTGATGAAGGTCGACTCACCTAAATTAAAAACATTTGCATCTGGCTGGAAGTGTGCGGAGACTTTTTCCTGTTTCTACAGTTTTGCCTTTACAAATCAGCTCTGGGTGTGCGGTAGGTTCCGCCTATTATATAAAACGGGTACCAACATATTTAAAAAAAGAGATTTGAAGTTGCTAGCAAAACGAGCTGGTCGTCCATTATAAAAGTTCTAAGGAAAAAGGGTTGCCATGCAGGCAAGCTTATTCTCCTTTGCTAGCTAGCCAACTAAAGCTAACACAGAATCACAAGCAACATGTGATAACATGAAACTACATATGTGAAAATGTCATGTGAAGTTATGTGATTTTCCACATGTGAAATCATGTGTTTTTTCTGTAAGCATGGCATTGTGGAGAAAACACTGCAACATTATCGGACAGGTCGGAGAGGCAGGCAGCAAGGTTTAGACAACCCCCAACTGTTGCAAACCAAATGCTAGCCTAGTCGCATGGGGAAATAATGTCTAGACACTATTGTCCAGGGGAGATTAAGTTTATAAATTGCCTGGCTGGGCTGTGGGACAGTGGATAACTCAAAATGGGTTTGGTTTCGGTTCTATAATTTTTTTAAACATTAAATGTATTATGAAATAATGACATTACAATGATTTTAAAGCTTTTTAATGGAAATTCCAAAGCCAAAAATAGTAAACATTCAATTGCCAAAACACTAAAAATATTCCATTGTCTCTGTCAGGTCTACATTGGTTAAAAATCTGTAGACAAATAGGAAATTACTATGAAATAATACAATATTTCAGTTGTGTATATTACTATTTATTTGATTACTTTTAATTCCTTAAAGTCATCATCTCCCAGACCATCTAACGTTATCTATGCGCTCCCCATATGGTACTGTCTTTAGTCATCCTATTTAGCTAGCCTGCCTAAGTATGCTGCATAGTTGTCATTCAAAGAAGATAAGGCATACTTTCACAAACTGTCTCTGTCCCGCTCGTCATTGTGTCTATGTGAATCTAACCTAACGTAGCAGGCGTAAAAGTGTATCCATCCAGCGATCTGTACATAATGACGAGATGCACGTCTCCGCTCTAACAATGGGAGTCATTGTCCCAAAGCCGGGAAGGCAGGCGACAAGCTTAGGTCCAAAATAAGCCCATAGAAACACATTGGGCTTATTTTGGACAGATTTTGGCCAGAGAAACACAGGCGCAATGGATTATGGTCATTGTAGTTAATTACCACGTTTCTGCCCTGAACTAGGTTTAATATTTGCTTAATGAAAACTACAACTCCCTTCAGTCCAGCGTCCCACATAGTTCTTGACTTGATTTCTCTCGTGAATGATTTGATTTCTCTCTAGAGAAATGGCGCGTTGCGCTCACATGGAATTCAAGTAATTGAACCGACGTCAGTCAATTAGTTGTTTAATAACCAAAAAACTAAAACAAATGTTGGTTAATCGCTCAGCACTAGTTGACAGGCATTACCCGGGGATTGTTGTGAATAACTTCCTGCTATCAACCAATCAGCATCCAGGATCCAAACAACCTGTTTCATAATTTATGTTTAGAGAAAATAATATCACATCAGCACATTCTCAGGGTGAGAATACAGTTGATCTTAAGTTCTGTTAAGGCCACAGGGATACTTTCCCCCCTATCAATATTTTACTAACATTTCACAGACACCCCACATAGACTATACCCCTAGGCTTCAAAAATAAGATTTGACATGAAAACAAGATTTTGGGATAAGATAAGGTTTTGGGATTTTGGCAGCATATTCCCATTTATTTTAAGCTAGGTGATTACCTTGAGTGTTTCTTTAAGGTTCATGCAAGCTTGTGAGCTCAATTGGCCTTGGTTGCTGATAACAGTGTGCCTTTAAAAACAGCCCACATGTGAAAACACTGAGAGAGAAGGATTTAAACTATGTGCCTACAGGCAGGAAAGAAGTAGCTGGTAAATTAACAACAGGTTCCGTTGTCTGGCACAGCCTTTTTAAACAGGCAGCAAAACAGGCAGCTTGGCCTGCAACGACCACCCATGAAGGACCCTGGAGTACCTGTGGACTTTGAAACTATGAAACTATGAAACAAACTTAATTCAGCTACAGCTGAGTTAAAGGAAAGGCATGACTGAAGCAGTTCTCTGATTTATGGAGTTAAAAGTTAAAAATGGAGGGCAGAGAGTATGCAGAGATCTTTAGACAGAGGAATGTACGGGTCAGCGTTGTGAGAGAGAGTTAATTTCTTCAGGATGCACTACTACTGCTGTGGTGTAGTGGTTGTTGTGGCCAGCCACCTGCTTTGGAGGCAAATTAATTGTCTAACATCAATCTAATTATCTGATCCGAATCAACACATTGCTTCCACATACTTTACATACATACTTTCTGTTTCCGTTACAGGAGCCTGGGGTTACTGTAGCTTAAACGCAGTCCCCCACTGTACTGTACTATTACATACTATCTTTATACAAGCATCAACATGTTCACAGCTACCTGTTTAGTGTGTCAATACTGGTAATCCCAATATTATGCTCTTAGAAGTCATGTTTCGCACACATGGCCAAAATGATGGCTGTTGGAGATGTTTTGTATACAGTGACTTTCTTTGACTTGGCTACTATTGTGATCTCTCTCTACGTGTTTTGTTGTTCATACTTGAATAATCCACTTTCATCTTCCTGCTCTCTTTGATGAAACACTAATCCCACCATTAAGATGATTTCATATGGTGATTGTTTGATGCCCCACGTACGACCATAAAGAGTTCACTCTGAAGTCAGACAGTTTAAATGTGCCCTTGCCAAGGTGGTAGTCAATGTATAAGAGAAAGATATTGCCCATGAACTGTCATCATAACAATAAATAGCCCTATTTGCTCACCCAAGGACTCCAGTGGAGACCAATAGAGATACAATATGTCTCAGACCTGCTGTCCTTCTAATGAGAACCTTAAGGAGGCAGTGGAAAGAGAGAGATCGAGGTCTTTAAAAAGTCCACATTAGCCAAACTCAAACCAAATGTTCCCAATTTCATTGCTTGTTCACCGCCCATCTTCTGATGTGTTTATTTATTTATTAAAGGCAATGTTTTATATGTCTGCGGACAAACCTGGAACTCCTGCCTTATAAGGTCATGAAAATGAAATTGCTAAGTGGTCTTGCAAGAGGATGAAAGGAATTGCATACTTCAGGTAACAATTGACAAGCCATCACAGACTGCATAGAACAGCTGTGCTTGACTTCATACAACTACTTGGGGCCTTTTCTTTGTTAGGATGCGTATGTGGTACTATGTCCACCTTGGCAAAGAAGAGAATAATCCTATTAAACCATCAGAGAAACAGTTTTAACATTGAGCATTTCCAAGAGAGGAGACGTGAAAACATTTGACTTTGACAGTGAGTGTTTGAACTCAGTAGCTTGCGCTTTCCATTTGTCTCTATTACACGTTGTTCCATAGCCTTTGAATAGAATATTCCCGGCCAGACTTTTCTCGAACATATATAAATAAAGACGGTGTGTTTTCACTTATCAGCCAATGAGTGAGTTTGTCTTTGTTAGCTGTGAATCCAGCCCAGTCTGAGTTTTTGTTCAGGCTTTAGTCTCTTTTCACCTCTCTCACACACATCAGATGTCACACCCACCCTATTATACTGCTCATCGCTGTTCACTTCTAGAAAGAACCATTCAGTAACATGAAACATGACTTATGTATTTTATACAGTATCCTGTATCTTTCTTAATGCATGCCTGTTGATAAGCCTTGTGGGGAATGTTAGAATCTTTTAGAATTCCCCTTCTAGATTTAGTTTTGGTTTCTACAGTTGACCTATGACTCATACCTGAAGTGAACAATGGCTTGTTTGTTACACCTAGAAGCAGGAGGATTAATTGTTTGAGGCTAGCATGTGAAGACAATTATCCTTCTCACCATGATGTTGTCATCGTTCTCAATGTCCAGCTATGAAGACATGAGAGTACTGGTATGGAAAGGTGTCCTATTTTTGGGGGGCTTCCTACTGGGTTATTGAAATAGAAGGGATGGAGTTACAAGCAGCCCTTCTCACTGCCCAACTCTGACCTATTATAGTGCACACCTTGGGACACTTTAATACCTACCCCGTATTCTGATAATGACACTAGATAGATTACCTTTCTGACTCTGGTAAGAACATTACAAACAACAGATTATTTTTTGACTAGAATAAAACAGTGATGCCTATTTAATAGGCTACTTGACTGTCAGGCATATATGGCTTATGTGCAGTGGAAGTTATGTGTTTTATTCCAGTCACCTCTGTTACAATTCCCTGATGTAAATG